ACATCCATAAATGATGTAAACTAGCTCAAAACTTTAATCTAACACTGAGCAACCTCCCAATCTTGTACTCAAACTCAAAATTTCAATCTAAACTCTGCGCAGATTCCCAAACTTGCTTTTTAGTTTAATACTTATACAAAACTTTTGAAGCAGAATAGTTAAGAAAAAAAATTGGCAGAATATAAGGTGGGTCCCAGAACAACCAAGAACATCGAGAAATAGTTAAAAATAGCAGGCTAATGCGAAAAAACTCCCCAATCTTGTTCTCGAACTGATGCTAGATACAATGTTTGACGGGGGACGAGTTAAGAAAATGTAAGAATTTAATGTGAGTTCCAGGACAGTCATGGCAGGATGCAAATTAGCTCAAACTTTTTTTTGAAACTGAATAGCGTCCCAATCTTGTTCCGAGTTGATACTTATACAGAGTTACAGAGTCTTAAATGTAGAGAAGTAAAAGGTAGGGCTAGAGTGAGCTCCAGAAAAACCATTGTATGGGAAAAATAAGCACAAAACTCTAGCTAAACACTAAAAAGTACCCCATCCTTGTTCCAAGTTTCCAATCGAACCCATACTTGGTAACGCTTGTAACGGTGAAGGGGACAAGAAAAAATGAGAGGGGCTAAAGTGCGTTCCAGAACAGGCATGCTCTGGAAAAATGATACATGATGTTTATCAAAACTTTAATCTAACACTGAGCAGCTTTTCAATCTTATTTGGGAGCTAATACTTGATGCATTTGCTTGATTTCAACGTGCGTTTTCAACGTGATAGAAATACAAAGTTGCTTATTTATTATATTTTCAGTAAACTAAACAACATTTATTACATTCATCTCATATATATAGTCTAAAATATTTCTCTTGTGTTATGTAGGTGTTAAAGTCATGGACAACAGAAATCGGATCGGGAAGATAAGTAATATAGAAATAAGATTAAAAACAGCAAACACAGTCTCATTTTCTAGTTTGCACTAAGAGAAAAATGAAAAATTTTGCATTTATATTGACATTTGCTCGACAGAATCAATTATTTTTCTGTAAGCTTCATAAAAAAGATCATCAATCGGGCTGAACTATGACACTTCGGATGACGGTAAGCTCTTTGTGTACTTGAAAACCATCAAGTGTACTTGTGAAAAGGAAATATTCGGCCCACCAAAATAGAACAATCTGATCGTTTTTCTGACCAGCTTTATGAGACAACATCTCTAATTTTAACGATAAAAGAAAAGAGAAACTCGCACTCAAATTTAAAAACCTTTCAGATCTGTTTCCAAATATTTGAAAATCTGATTTGATTGTTTAACAACAGTTGCGTGTAAAAACTTTTTAAAAGAACCAAAAAATGTCTCTTACGTTCATATATAGAATCTCACCTTATTGACAGTACTTTTGAGAAGAATTATTAATTAATAAAAGCTTTGATTAGTTGATTTGTCACTTCTTTGTCACATGATCTGAACTGATTCAAAGAAATTCTCTCATTTGCGACGATTAGAATAGCACCATAACAGCTATTTATAGTCAAGGGCACTATAACAAGTTCTTATTATATATAAAAGATGAATTTCTTCTAATCTCAAATACACTGAATAAGATAAATCAAATATTTCCCCCAGATAAAGGCGATCTTTGTAACATTGGACACAGCGTGGCTTGTGGTTCAAAAAAATGCAGTAGATAAGGGATTGTTATAAAAGAGACAGGGTCAACAGAGAACATTCAACCTTTCAACGCACACAAGTTATGCTCTCGCTTCTGCTTTTCGTTTTGTTTTTGATCGGTTTGTTTGAAATTTCTGTTTATTCACAAGACTTAAAACTTTAGATTAAATATTTTTTGGATAACAAGATTGTAAGATTTGACTAGTGACAATAAAATCTAACTATGAAACTGATGAATACTTGTTTTCAGGCGGTACATCAGCTGCCTCATGCATCGACTGTATCTGTCAACATGAATCGGGTTGTGCTCCGATTGGCTGTGAAATGGATTTGGGATCGTTGTCGTGTGGATACTTTCAGGTTAAAAAAAGAACTAGACTAATAGATTGTTTCAGATCAAGCTCCCCTATTATCAAGACTGTGGAAAGCCCGGGCAGAGAAATGGGGAATCGGATGAGGATGCTTGGAAGAGGTTTGAGAAGAAGGAACTTTTCAACTTTCAAGTTTAGATGTTCCGATGACTACAATTGTGCGCTGACCTGTGTGCAGAATTATTTCGTCCGCTATCGCTCTTTGTGCTCAAACTTTAACTACGGTGACTGTCAACAGCTCTCCAGGATTCACAATGGAGGTGAATTTTTGAATCAATTTAAGAGAAATACTGCTAGGCAATTATTAGGTTGGCGGGAAAATAATGCGAATTTTTAACTTGTGCTCTTTGGAAAGTAATGGCCGACAAACAGAGAAAACCGCGATAGTAACAGAGAAGCAGAGTGTGTTTGCTTACACAATCATAATATTATTTGAAAAGATTTGTTCATTTGTTATCAAAAAATGACGGAACAAAAATTCCTTATTCGAGCTGCTTTACTCTATGACTTTAAGCTTGGAAAATCTGCCCGTGAATCGCATAATTCTATTTCAAAGGCCTATGGCGAAGGTAGTATTAGCGAAAGCCAATGTTATCGATGGTTTTTGCGATTTCGAAATGGAAACGAGAGCCTAGAAGATGAGCGTCACGAAGGACGTCCTCAAAAGCTGGATGAGTCTCAACTTTTGCAAATTATCGAAGAAGATCCCACTTGCATCACTCGGGAGTTGTCGGAAATGTTCAATATTGATCATAGCACCATTGAAGAGCATTCACATTTGATTGGAAAGTGAAATAGATGCGGAAAATGGGTCCCACATGAACTGACCTTTAATCACAAAATTTCCCGTATGAACACTTGTTCAATTTTGATTCAAAAATCAAAAGCACATGATTTTTGGAAATCGATTATTACTTCTGATGAAACGTGGATATTATATGATAACGTTAAGCGCAAGCACCAATGGCCATCACCAAAGCAAGTCCCGGTTGTCATGTCAAAACCTGGTCTGCATGGAAGGAAGTTGATATTGTGCGTATGGTGGAACTATCGTGGATTGGTTTATTTTGAACTGCTCAAACTGTCATATCTGAACTTTACAGTGAGCAGTTAGAGCGTGTGAATCAAGCTTTACCGAAATCTCGACATGACACTTCAAAAATTCGATTTTTGCGTGATAATGCAAAACCGCACATGGCAAAGATGATCCTCCAACAAATCGAAGAGCTGGGTTGGAAGCTTCTACCTCACGCCCCATACAGCCCTGACTTGACCCCATCAGACTATCACTTATTCAGGTCTCTAAAGCAGTTCATCCCCGATCAGCTGTTCAACGATTTCCGGGAAGTCGAAAATGCGGTCACCAACTATTTTTCGTTAAAAAGTCCCCAGTTCTTTGAAGAAGGAATTATTGAATTGAGCAAAAGATGACATAATGTCCTAAATAATAATGGAGAATACCTTTTATATAAATCCTCTTTATTTATTGTTTTTTTTTAAAATAAAAATTTGGGTCAAAAAAATTCGCATTATTTTCCCGCCAACCTAATATTTTTAAACATAAGGATTACAAAAGAAAAGTATACAATGAGATTTATGGGAAAGGCTGAAAAGATTTGTCGCTTTCATTGAATGATCTCTGTTAAACGCTAGAATTTACTAACTTCTAGTAAAAATTTATAAATAAAAACATTTTACAGGACCCTACGGCTGCTCGGATACTCGCACCGATGTCTACTGGGCTTGGGTGAAGAATTGCTGTGGTTGCTCGTAAACACCTTCAACCATCTTTCATTGCTGTAAATAAATCATTTTTATAAGAGCTCTGAAAGCTCTGAAGGAATGAATCAAAAAAACAACCCAGTTTTCCGTTTTCCCCTCTTTTTAAAATTATTTAAGGCGTAATCTACAGAGTTTTCAACAATTATGGTGACTTCTTTTTAGAAAACCTTTGATACCGAAAAAACTTTCCACAGAAAGTAAGATGTATTATATACCATTCGAAAGCTCTAATTTTCGGCATCATTAGATACTAAAGATTTCTCGTTCAAAGTTAATTTTTAGCTCTTAAAGCACTTCGGGCTGAATCCACGCCAAGTATCCGGAAACATGCTGCCATTTTTCGTGGTTTTGAATGTAAGGAGTCTTTCGAAAAGCTTTTTTCAAGGGAAAACCCTTTTCATAAGACTTTTGATTTGTAATAAAACCAAATCCCAATCAAATCTGTGCAAATTCCTTGTTAAAACAAGCTCACAACCTACCGCAAACCCCACCTTTTGATGAGTAGAGAAATTTGCGTTTTTCGGGATGCCTGGTTCTGCTGACCGAGGCACTTTTAGAATGTCATTTTAGACTTAAATTATTGAATTGGATTTATCTTGATAAAATGCGTACAAATTTAAGCATGCTTTCAGTTTTTTTTCCATAAGAATTTAAACCTAGAAAATCATTGAAAGGTATTGAGTTGAAAAGGGAGCTGATGGTCGAATCAACTCAACTCTTTGTGTTCAAGGGAAAGAGGATTTGATTGACAAAGAAAAGAGAAGTTCATTCTTTTCCTACACTCAAATCCGCCTTTTCATTTCTCCATCCATATGTTGAGGAATTGAGGCAGATTACTTAAGAGAATCCAGGTCTAAATCTACAATCTTACCGTAATCTGGATAACTCACTAGCTTGATTAGAAATAACTCTCTTGACTTTGCGTTACAAATGGGTTTGTTTTCGATTAAAAACTTTATTCTGTAGTATTCAAAAATAAAAGAAACTATCCGCTTTCATTTAAATCATCAGTGCTAAAGACGTTCAACGAATCCTTGATACTCTTCTTCTGGCTCTGAAAATATAGTCGATTACAGAAAATTTGTTTTAAAAGCAAACCATTAGGGATGCTCAGCTCGATTTCTCGTTTACTCCCCATAACTATGGGGAAATCGAAAATGATTGAGCTGTTTTGTTGTTTACTTGAGAACACTTTGATCTGAAAAGAAGTTTTTCGATAAAACTTGACAACTTACCTTTAGAGAATAGCTAAATCGAATGATTGCACACTCAAAAGAGGCCATACTTTTGGGGAAGAGAAATGGAATGGAAAGAGACCCATGAGAGTTTTCTTTGATACAAATTGACTAAACAAAGGCTTGTTAAGATAAACTTAAACAAGACTAATAACATACAGCTTGTGTCTTGAATGTCGACGTATATGATTTGTGCATTTGATGGAAGTCCCCTTTCGGCCCATCACCCAAGAAACGATCATCGATTGAGAATTCTTTGCCTTTCTTCAGAAAAGCCACATATTCTGAGTGTTTTTCAAGGGAGACCTCAAGCTAAAGCATGTTTTTCTTAGCTATGAACAAAAATGAGAACTTGATCGATAACTTTGTTTGATTGATTGTTGATGAAAAGATCGATAACGAGGTTCTCATCGGAAATGAAACCCTGACGAGGGATTGAGGCCTGGAATTGAATTTGGATTCTGTTTGGCTTTTAGCAACCGTTGACAACTTTTTTCAAGTGTTCACTCACCCTAACCACCATCTCTTCTCCTTTATTTTTCTTCTTCAACAACCCTCCACCACTAAAACTCAGACATTTCTCCTCACTCAGCCCCTCATTCAGCTCTTTTCTCAATCCCAAATCGACAATTGGTGCGACGAGGAATTCCTGAATCGATATAAATCTACACTTTCCCTTCCCCTATACCTTATTTGTCGTATTTCCCATTTTTATCATTGATAAACCCTTCTTCAGCAATCCCAATCCCTCAATTTCCACTGTTATTGAATAAGTAATCTTTCCGAGTTTTGGCGCCGAAATTAGAATTTTTGGTGGCGCCTCGTCGAATGAGGGCAAACAGCGATCGGGTAGATAAAAACTGAAAGAGTGGAGATTAGCTTTTCTAAGGACAAAAGCCAAAAGGCAAAAGCCCAAACAACACCTAAGAATGGAACGTTTTTACTAGTAAAAATTTGAGGCGAAAGTTTTTTCTGGAGTTTTGAACTACACAAGAGTTACCTGAACGGGATCCTCTTCTCGCCAAGCGGCAATTCTCCTTTTCCCATCAACAGCTTCTTCTCTTTCATCACTTGTATTTCTCCATTGAATATCTCGATCACTTGCCCATCATCCATTTCTTTCACGTTGTCTTTCTCTTTTCCATTCACCATATCATAGCCTTTCTTGGCGAGTTTTCCCCCGGCCATCACTTGATTTGGACTCAATTTTATCGGGCCAACACCGAATTTTGTGTTCCCGAGGAAGCCGCCGGATTTTTTCTTTTCCCTGAAAAGATTAAATCATGTTAAAAAAGCTTAAGATAAACCCACTTTTCATCGATAGACACCGAGCCAATCGGTTTCGATTTTTGGTGTTCTTTCCTGAAGTGAGCTTTATAAATGAGTTTTTGTTCCGATTTAATGGCTCTTACTGAAATTGTCCCTTCTCTTCTCGTATCTCCCAATGTGTCTTGACCAATCCTTCACATTTCGCCGTGATCCCCTTAATCTTCATCGGCTCTTTTGTCTAAAATTTTTGATTTTAAACGAATAAAATTGAAAATAAATTGAATAGTATCTGTAACAGGCTTATAAGAAAAGGAAAAACCATCAAGAATTTCCATATCAATTCTACCTGAACGACGAGAATGGCCTCGATTTTCTCTCCTTCATGATAAACGGCCGGGTTCTTCAACAGCTCGATTTCAAGTTTCATTCCTGAATTGAATCAATGACTTGCATAAAAAAGAGGACTGATTCTCGAGTAAAGAATTCTCGAGTTCAATTCGTTCAAAACATTTCCCGGGATTGATAGCTGTAATCAGTTATCGGTGAGAGTCGACAAAAACTCGTAAAGAAGCTGTTGGAGAGAAGTTATCTTGGAAATCGAAACTGGATGGACTTTAGAAGATTTTCGAATGGGAAAAGAGTGTACTTGGGGAACATATTGTGCTTTGCTTTATTTTTGACACAAAGTGTTGGCATTTTTTTTGTTTTTTCAATGAAAGAAATCGTTTAATTATTAGGCTTTTTGTAGGGGACATATCTGAATAGGGTTATTCATTGTGCTATGAGTAGAATTGTATTCATTTTATCGATTCTAAATGATTTCTAAATGAATCAGCGACTGAGCCCTCTCACTAAGCTTATTTGAGGTTTTTATGCTTGAAAATGATTGAATTTTGCTTAATTTTTGAACGATCTCTCGCCAACCAACGCTTGACAAGCAGTTTACTATGTTTACTTTATTGAAAATATAACATTTTAAAAGCCACATCAGTTAAGCATAAAATACCATTTACAAGCAAGAAATTGAATTTGAAATCAAATTTTGTACAGCAAAGTGATTTCATTTTCATTGTTTCTCGTTCTCCGCCTCGCAATCTTAGTGAACGAGCTCGAAATTCCACTCACTCTCACAACTGGGTTACTCAGAGACTCATTCAATTTCCGTTTAGCCAAACCTTTGAACAATTTTGATTTTTTTGTGCTCCAGTTAAGCTAGTTTCTAAATCTTGTAAAAAGAACCCGATTCTCGATTTAGAAATTCAAAAAAACGGTGGCCTCATCATAAATGAAACGAGTCGATGTGACCGATGAGCCGAGATTGCCCAGGAGGAGAGCTCAGGTCAATGACTATACATGTAGATTGGCTACGAAACGAACCTTGAAACACTTTTTGGAAACACAGGGTAAAGTCGACTTTTGCTTCTGCTTTATCATCACTAAAAATTAATGTATTAATGTGAGTTTTGTTATTTTACGAAATCTTACTTGCTCATCGGATGACATCGAAAATCGACACAAGCACGGAAAAAGCCTGAAAATTTATCGAATCTTTTGGCATTACCCGTTTCAATTCCATTTTTGTCGGTAAACTCACAAATGGCCAGTTTTGAGAGCTGAAGCTTCAAATTTAAATAATTTTCATTTGAAATTTCCAACCTCCGAATCGATTTCCTTGATCGATTTGTAGAAGTTGTTGAGTGTTTTCAGCTTTTTCTGCTCAATTTCAATTAGAAACCAGTTTTTCGATGAACACTTCATCATCAGAATCAGCAAAAGATTTTTTGATCACAAACATACCGAATGGGAGGAGTCTGTGATCTCGGAATTCTCCAGTCTTTTATCCCACAACAAGAACGGAGAAAGGAGAAAAACCAAATTGAGTTTAACTTTACTATTGGGATTTTCCCAAAATAGTGTAAGGTATCAAATATTAAACTAACTTTACAATAAAGCATTAATAGTATGACTTACCCATTGCCTTCTCGAACTCCTCGTCCGCTTCGTCACTTGTGTCCGGAAAAAAAGTTGGATTTTCTGTGATTGCGGCTCGATTCACTGTAGTCGTCAAATTTTTGTTTTTCAAAGCCGAGTGTCATCTTCCGACCAAACATTGCTTCAAATGGCGAACGTCCGATCCCTCGATGAAATCGCCGATTCTTCATCGATTGCACAACTGGAAGAATTCAGGCCCACCTTGTAGATTTCTCTTCACGTAGTTGAGTGCAAAGGATTCTCTAAATGCAATATTGTTTTTAGCTAAAAAATGTTCATTCCGCACAACTAACTAACCTCAACATCCTGATTTGCTCTTTCAACGGGTCCTTGTGATTGCGAGTGTCGTGGTCCCCCGTGCACAATTTGACACCCCTGACCAACGATCCACTAATTCTTTAACCTAAAAGACAAAAGTTATTGAAAAAAATAGATAAATGTAATAAAATAATTTAAAAAATCTTACCATTTTGTTGGCAAATTCGCGCCCATTGTCCGACTGCAAAATCGTTGGCGCTCCAAAAGTCCCAAATATCTCCATCAAGTGATTCACCACAACGCTGTTATAGATTTTAATGCACGAAGGATTACAAATCTTGTGAGATGATCCTGGTAAATCATCAAAAACTTGTAGTCACCGTCGGGCACCGATTGAAGGTCAACCAAATCGATTTGGCATCGCTCATTTTGTTCTTGTCACAATTGATTTGATAACAATTCCTTTCTTGGGTATACCCTTCTTCAGCTCGCATTCATTACAAAGCTTGGCCAAAATTTCAATAATCTCCTTTGATATTCCATGATAGTCGCGAAGTTCCTTCCACATAATATCGCGTCCAGCGTGTCCTAGTCGTTTGTGAGTATCCATCAGTAGATTGAAGAGTTCCTCCTTCTTGACCACTCGCTTTGGTTGATTGTTTTGTCCAATTCCGTGACTGTAGAGATTCGCCTGGTCCTGTTCGTATCGAAGAGAGAAACGATTTAGCAAGTTGACATCATCGCGTGATTTTTTTTCTTCTCATCGTTTCCCTCGCTGAATTCTTTGATTTTCATAACGATTTCATTGTATTTGTAAGCAGACGGTACCAAAATCTTCTTTCTTTGAGATTGATATTGCGTGAAGGTTTCAGCAAATCGATCCTCCATCCTAAAAAGAAAATTTAGTCCGATGAAAATATAAAGATAAAAGTTTAAAACGTGAAAACTCTTAAACTTTGTTCGAAAGTATAAAGCATGATTAACAAGTGGTAACTAGTAGCGTCTTACGGTTCAAAACATTTTACTTCTGGGTCGAAATGGGAAAGTTGCCGATCCGTACTCGAACTGGGGGAATTGGGGTTTTACCAACTACAACATAAAAAATAATTTGGATTTGACGACAAATTTCTCGGAAAAGCTACTTTTATTCATAATCGGCTAGTCGATTATGATTTTCGCTAGCGAAATCATTTGATTCATAATCGGCTGCGACATATATTAGGTTGTCCGGAAATAAATGAGCGTTTTGTATTGTTTATGATTTGGGTACATTGAAAGCAAGAAAAAAAGGAATTTCTCGAGCCGTTGTCTCCGATCTCTTCAAATGCGATCCTTCGACCGTTTCTCGCATTGTTTCAAAAGTAAAAACAACTGGACTTATGCACCGAAGAGAGAAGAAAGGACGGCCAAGAAGAACAACAGCAAAAGAAGATCGAATACTTGTGATGGCTCCCAAGAAGGATCCGAACATGACATCAACTGAGGGAGCTCGGCTGATAAAGGATGTTGCAAACAAGGATATCTCTCGATGGACCGTTTCTCGACGATCGACTCAAGCAGGACTGTATAGCCGGAGGGCTGTACGCAAGCCTTTGATGACCGCTGGCCACAGGAAACAACGGCTTCTATTCGCCAGGACGTACCAAAGTTGGACAAAGCAGGATTGGACCAACGCGATTTTTCTCGACGAAACAAAAGTGGATATCTTTTCTCCAAAAGGCAACCACTTGATCAGACGACCCATTGGAAAGCGAATACTCCTTAAATATGTGCGACCTACAATGCGAGCTGGCGGAGGATCAATCATGTGTTTTGGTAAGCCTTGTTTCTAATACATGCATTAATTTGTCTTTTTCTAGGGGCGATGACAAAAAATGTGGCAGGTCTGCTAGTCCTCGTCCAGTCAACCATGAATACTCGCCAGTATATGGAAATACTAGAAGGATATCTACTTCCATTTGCTCAGGATCACATGGCTCCTTGATGGTTTATCTACCAGGACAATTCGCCGGTCCACAAGAGCAAGCTCATGATGGGCCGCACGGTGAATCTCTCAAATGGAGGAAAAGCTCATCTCCCTGGATGTTTTGCCCTTAATAATGTTCTGTTCGTCAATGTGCCCCCTATGTCGCCTGATTTAAACGTTATTGAAAATTTATGGGCTTACGTGAAGACGTTATTACGAGGAAAAGACTTTCACACAAAAGTTGACTTATGGTCCTACATACGAAAAGTTTGGAGCTCAATTCGACGATCCAATTGAGAAATGAACAAAAATGTTTTTTGTTTTTTAATAGAAAACATTACATCTTAAAGAATAATTTTTAAAAGTTGAAAATCAGACTTGAGAAGACGTGAAAAAAAAGGCGCCCAATTTAACACTGAGCTTCCTTGGGCCGGAGCACCCCTTTAAATATTCCTCAAGCAATTTCATAAATTCTTCAATTTTTGCCTCTTCAAAGAAAATGAGAGGACCTACTCTCGTTAAAGTTTTTGGACGAGAGAATTTCTGGAAGGTTTTAATCATGCATTATAAACATCACAAAGATTAGCATACCACAAATTACAAAGATGTATTGCTTGATGAACGCTTTCGAAACGGTCAGTCCATAGAACGAATTGAGAGATGCCACCGGTCAGCACATCGACTCGTTGATAGAAAATAACGGTCGATCTCCGAGCATGACAATTCATTGGGAGAAACTGGAAATGAAAAGAATTTCTAACATTTTTAGACTCTGATTACAACTAATGACTTTTAATTATGTAAGGCCCAGCTTCTTATTAGTAATAAAATGACGAACAGAGAGTTTTGTGGAGTTGATGCATGATCAATTGTGCCTCACCGTTTGTCCGTTTCCAGCGATCACAATCTGATTCCAATTCATCGGAGAGCTTCTTGTTCTTCAAAAATCTTCTAAAAAGTTTGTGATTCCCATTCCACAAGTGGCAAATTTTGATTCTGAAGACGTTTAATCAGTTTCTCTTTAAAAACTTTTGCATACCGGTCGTCAACTGCTCGCTTCTGATATAAAGGTAGCCTTTTGTGGACGTTGATTGATCAACTGGACCCCTGAATAACGATAGTAATTTGTGTTCTCAAAAAGTTCCCAGGTTCCCATGTTTATACGGGCGGCCACCCTTAGTTTTTGGATATCTTGAGTTTTGTTAGTAGCGTGCAACCGCGCGTGAGGCTGTTCAAGACATGTTTTCGAATCGGAAATGAATCAAATCGAATCAAATAGGTTTCTGTTGAATGTAAATTATCAACTCCATGTTTGTGAGACGTGTTATAATGCTTCTTTTTGAAATGTTTATCGTTGGATCAATAAAACTGTAGAAGAATACAAAAACTTTGTGATAAAGACAGGAAAATATAAAAACATAAAGAAGAATATAAAAACTTTGTGGCCAAATCAGGAAAATGAGTGAAAAGTTGAGCTTAGTTTTAGAAAATGTTTTTGTTTGAGAGTCCTTTTCATAAGTTGGTTCAATCGTTTGCAAAAAGTGTTTATTCTCATCACTCAAACAAGTCACTTATTTCAACTGTGTAGTTTCAAAGACAGATTAACTAATTTCATAAATGGGTATCACAGTAGCCACGTATCTATAAAAGTTAAACAGAATGGGAAAAAAACGACATGTTATCAATAACGAAATATGAATCACTGGAGCTTACACCTAAAGCTTACAGCTTAAACGATCAAATGTTTTGAGTTGAAAAATTTTAAAAATCTACCAGCTAGTGTTGAAAAAGAAAAAGATGTCTAGTGAAAGAGTAAATGCAAAAAAGAGATGAGATTGGCGCACCTCCCAGCTTGATTTAATGGATTTTGGGTTACCGGTGATTGATCGTCGAATCGATTGTCAAAAGAACGAACAAAATGAATCTTCACGAAGCATCTCTTGTATTTCTCCCATTTGGACATAATGTGACATTGAAGCTGAAGTATTTCACAATCAATTTTTTCACTGTTTTCCCTTTTACCTTAACCTCTTGCACATTGGAAAGGGTCGTGTTGACGCTAAAAGAGAATTGAATCAAATTCAAAAAATAAGTTGTTATTTTAAAGAAGCTAACTCGCTATCTATCCAATCGTCGCCGAAATTCTTCAAATATTGAACCGAGATTTGACCGAATCCCATAGAGTTTGTTTGAAACGATATGTTGACGGGGAAAAGATCTGAAAACAAACAGAATATGTTCCCTTTTAATCGAGAAGGAAAAACAACATGACGCTTGTTGAGCACTCAGCGGGTGCATTGTGATTAAGCCATGTGCACTCGTTGCAGCTTTTGTTATCAAGTCTCATCTGTCTGCTACCATAACAAGAGAAATTTCATACAATAAAAATTATCTTATTATCTTATCTTCAAAATTTAATACCATAAGTTTGATGGTTTTCACACAATCTTGCTACCGGATGCCTTGTAAAGTTTGGTACCAAATCAAACCGAATCAAATCGAACAAATTTTCCGACTTCGATCCGAATCTGGGCCGGGACTCGGTTAAGTGCAAATGTCTACAGTTGAAGAGAAGAAAGATAAAAAGGATAAACTTGACCGCAAAAATAGTCAGCGTCTATTTGGTACAACGGGACACTCGTTTGATCCTCGAGAACCACGAGAAACACCGTCCCACCACAATTACGAAGTCTCGGGGTCGCGTCGGTGCCTACTGTACGAGAAAGATATGAAACAAGCAAAGTGCTGTCAAGATTTACAGGAATATGTCCTGAGAGCAATACTTGGAGCACATCCAGGTGGTATGTAGATACTGTAGGATGGAGATGTGAGAGCTTGATCTTGAAAGACATCGGTATCACTAAAGACTCATGAAATGTGGATGCTCTTTTCTAAATCGGCTAAAAGCCTCTTCATCTAATTCTCAATAATTCAAATGGCTCAATTTTAGTATCAATCGATGAGGAATCACAATGCTCAGTCAGCTTCAAATTCTTTGATTACTGCTGTTCTAGAAATTATGTGTCTTTTGAGGAGAACACTCTGTTTGAGACGTTAGCCGAAAAATTGAAAAACTTACCGATACGTGTTCAATAGAAGCTCGGGATGGCTAAGGAAGTTACTGGGTGGCCCGTTCACTATTTGATACTCGCACGAGCGATTCCCGTGATCCTAAAAGACAGTTTCTCCAGGCTTTTGTTGAAAACATGTCTGCAGTAAACAGGAGGTCATTGCTCCAGTACTCTTTATGATCATCGTTCAATGTTTTGTTAACACTACTTGCTTATCGTGGAAAGCAATAAATAACTTAAGACCATAGCTTGGCTTTCTCTGTCAAATTTCCTCTGTTCTCCAGAGGAACTAAACGTTAAATCTGCTTACTCCGCGAAATTTCCTCAGTTGCAGGATTTTGTCGAATGCTAAAACCATCGAAAACCAGGTTCCGCGTGGCGACTCGTCGAATCGAAAGCCGAATTCACGCATGTGAAGCAAATTGTTGACGGGCAAGAAGAAGAAATTCGTCTCATCTGAAGGAAAGGGAAATTACTAGACATGAGTATTCGGTCCAACTCGATCACAACCGAAATTTCGTAGTTTTTTGTAACTTTAATCCTGTTCAAACTGGCCAGAATTTATCATTAGATCATCTCATTTTTTTGTCAGCAATCGATCTTGAACTTTGTGGTGCTGTTCGGATTCAAACCGGTGTGAGTGTATCATTTCAAAGTCACACACTAGCCAAAACGACATGCAAGCCGTCACCCAACTGATCGAAAAAACACGAGAATTCCGAATGCCACTCCTCCTGGTGTTCATCGACTACAAGAAGCCATTCGACTCAGTGGAACACGGCGCGTTGACGCAAGCCCTTCTCGACGCAGGGATTGACCTCGGATATATCCACGCCATACAAGACTGCTACACAGAGGTTACCACCACCATCAAGATGCTCGAGAGGGAAGTTCATATCCCGATCAAGCGCGGGGTTCGCCAAGGAGACACCATCTCGCCCAAGCTCTTCACCACAGTTCTCCAGTATGCCATGAAAGACCTCGAGTGGGAAGACTACGGCATTCCGGTAGACGGCAGGAACATCACCAACCTACGCTTCGTAGACGACATCGTGCCCTGCGCCAAGACACCAGAAGAAGCCCAACGGATGGTAGAAGACCTCGACCGAGTCAGGAAGAAGATTGGCCTCGAGATGAACAAGAAAAAGACTCAGAGCATGAGGAATGCATGGTGCCCACCTGGAGAGATCAAGCTGGAAGGTCAACCGCTAGAAGAAGTCACCTCCTACACCTACCTCGGAAGAAGCATCAACATGGAGGGAGACCTAAGACCAGAAGTCGCCAGAAGAAGACGAGCGGCTTAGACAGCACCAGGAAGCATCAAAGAAGTCACAAAGATACTCAAAAGTCGCCAGAGAACTCGGGCACACCTCTTCGACAGCACCGTCCTCCCGGCACTCTGCTACGGGACAGAGACATGGGCCACGACACAGATCACTCAACGAGCCCTGAGAACGACGCATCGAGCCCTTGAAAGGAACCTCCTCGGGTACAATAGGAAGACGCAACTCGACCAAGACCTAAGAAGTACGGATATGCGCCAGCTCTCGGGACTCAGAGATCCAGTGGAAGTGATTGAGAGAAAAAGACTCAGATGGGCCGGCCACGTAGGCAGAAGAACAGCTGACAGATGGATGATACGGATCACAGAGTGGATACCACGAGGCCAGAAGAGGCCCATCGGAAGACTAGCAATGAGGTGGAGCACAAGAGTGGCAGAGACGGTCGGAGAAAGGATGGCTAGAGTGCAACCACCACCAGCACAAGCACGTCGAAGATTTCGAACCAGGAACAATCAAGATAGGAAACACTGGATGACAATAGCAAGAGATCGAGAAATGTGGAAGCAGGTTGTGATCTGCGGAAATAGGAACACCTGAGTGCGAAGACAGATCGAAAAAAAAACACTAGCCAAAACGAAAACAAACACTCAAAAGCGTTTACAGAGAACAATTTTTGTAGGACAATGGAGGACAAAAATTGTTCTCTGTAAACGCTGTTGAGTAAACAAACCGAGCGTTGTGTTGGGCAATCGAAATGAGTAGCCCCCATAGAAAGAGCCCGAAAAATCGGGATTCGAACCCAAATAGACGCGACTTTCTTTGATCAGACGAGCCTGTAGTAGAAAAAATACACGTCGAGATGTGTACCTGAAAGAAAAAGTCAAATGAAAAACAAAGAATGGTCACCGAATCTCCCAATCTTTGATTTCTGGACGTTCACCGTTGATTGTGTATGGGGATGAGTTGATGCAATGGCTCTAGAAAAAGAGGAAAACAAATAAGAGTGGCACTTTTCTGATACCTTATCCTCAATGTAACAAGCAAACGAAAGATCAATGATGATCGGACAACTCGAAGCATTTCCACATTTCCTTTCCACACAAATTGGCTTCATACCAGTCGCTTTTTAAATATTATTTCAAAAAAGTGTTTGGACATTTGGTGGGCACAAAATTTGCATTAGAAACATCTCTGCTTACATTTTAAAGACGCTCATCAAGTTAACACATTTTCAGGACAAATCGCTGAATTTTCTTTAAGAATTATCACAATGACATTCATCTGGGCCTATTTGCAAGCAGTTAAATGTTGATTTAACTTTAACTAAGCCTAAGCCTAAGCCTTAGCCCACTAGAACACCAGTACCAAAAGACGAAGAAATAAACGCACCCTCTTGGATGTAGATATTTTCGACGTGGAGGAGAACTTGTGGGTTCTCGGTGCTCAACGTGTGTGTCAGCTTGCATTCGACGAGTTTCGGATCGACCGGCGCTCCACTCGCCTTCACCACAAAACCAAAACGATCTTTTGTGCCATTTTGAAGGGGACAAAACTCGAGCTACAATATTTTCCAATCCAATTATTGCTTTTTAAACGATCTCACATGAAAGCATTCCGCTGAAACGGCGACTTTTTGTTGATCGACGAGACTGAAATGATCTCATTTTTGTTAAACTCTGCTAATCTCTGCCACAAACTCGATGCTTTTTGATTCGATTTCCGGATTTATGCAAAATCCCTTTTCATCTGGATCTGTGCCATAAAACAGTTTCAGAGTACCGTTTTCCAATTTGATCACATCAATGGCGATGCGGCGCTCGGTTTTTGACTAAAATTCACACCTCCACAATCGTGGGAATGGTATTTTTGGTCTAGACGTCTATAGGAGTATAATGGAAAACCCTTTATGCTCAACTATTCCGCAGAATGACAGAGTAAACCTGGGAATTTTCGGCTACATGTCTATAGGAGCATAACGGTAAAACACGTCTCTTTTATCCACAACTGTTGCGTCTCTTTTATCCACAACTTTTTCACAAGTTCTTTTCACTATTAAATAAAATTTTAAAAACTCGGTCAACCTACGGAATAGTTGAGTATAAAGGGGTCAACTACGTGCTCCTATATACATCTAGACCAAAAGACCCTGTTTGTTTAAAATCCCCACAATCAACGACGAGAAATCGGCTCGAGCCCGTTGACATTGTGGGTAATCAGTTGGATTATCGAAAGGCCATGGATAACTGTATGATGTAAGATAAGTTGGAAGATGATTGAAGATATCTTCCGTGCTAGCTTCCCCTGAAATCAAAAAAAAACAATGGAAAAGCCAATTCACAGACCCATAATAGCCGTAAAAGTACAGTAGTCATTGCCGAGAAGAGTGAAGACGGTGGATTTTAAATAGATTGTCTGTCTGAAGATCTTTGGAAAATCTATTTTTTGAGAACTGACTGATCGAGAGAAAAGTCGAGAGACTCTCGCCATCGCAGACCCGGATCGGATCCGGCAAAAAGCGAATAGGTGAAAGGCCAATTGCATGTGATGTCCACCTAATGGTAATGGAATTAAGCCATGTTTCAATCATCGATTAATGATTTTTCTAAAAACGCTCAAGTTTAGCCAGAAATTCCAATTGATTCAGCCGCAATTAAAGTTCTTTAGCAACTTGGCCTAACTCACGTCTCCGTTGGTCAATTCTTATGGTTTTAATACAAATTTGTAGATCTTTTCATGGGCAAGAAATACCAAAATGATAGAAATTAATCAATGGAGCTGTGAGTATGAAAAAAGTTGCTGAAAAATTGCACGATGCGTTGAGGATTATTTGACCAACATTGAGGCTAATCGTTAGGGTATCGTGCTCACCGTAAAACAAAATGTATTGAGTTTCGTATTGATTCTGAATGGTCGAGTCGAGACCGTTGCATTATAACCCAAAACAGTTGATTCTTGATCTCACCTCATACAGCGGGAGCGCTTCCTCCCCCACATCGTCGAATCGACCTTGCAGCTCCAGAACAAGCGCTGTATTCACGAGCGAACTTCTTTATGAAAGAAAAGAAACCAGGTTTTTTCTAGTGAAATTCGACAAACGGTGCTAGAATCGGATCGGTGACGAGAGTAACCATCGTACTTTTTTCGACTAAAAAGTACTCGTCTCCACTGACCGGTAGAACGAACATTGGGATCGACTCTAAAGTAAAATCAACACTTGAACGCTTTGTTTTGAGAAAATGGCAAAGAAAAATTGCATATGAAAATTAGCAGTGTGCTTATCAAAAAAAACGGGTCTATTATCCAAATTTCAATAGTATTTATTTTTAATATTAAAACGTCAGCTCAGAAATTGAATCACCCCCGATTACCCCTAGTTAAATGTCTAACTGGTGAGCGTAGAGTTTGGTTTGGTAATATTGTATTAGGTAGGCTCCTAAGTCTTTACACACTTTTTTTTTTCTACTAGCGTTTATAAATGACAACAAAATTATCAAACCTACAATTGGCTCTAAATAAAATATTAGGTTGGTGCAGATGAAACTTCCGTCACACTTGTTTGTTTATATTTTGAACCTTATAAAAGTTTTTATTGAAGATATTTGTCTATCTGAAAGAGCGTCTCTTTCCGCGTCTTTTGATATCTAAGACTTATGCGTTTTACTTAATTTGAAGTAATTTTTAGCTTCTAGAAAATGGTTGACGAAAAATTTCGAGTGCGGGTTTGCTTGTTGTATGATTTTAAACAAGGCAGAACGCCTGCGGAATCTCTGTGCAAAGCATTCGGCGATGTCGTGTTGTCCGAACGTCAATGCCGGACTTGGTTTCAGCGCTTCCGAGACGGTGATGAGAGTTTGGAAGACGAAAAACGCGAAAAACGATGAGTTGAAGAACGCTATCGAATCGTATCCATGCCAAACAACTCGGGAGCTTGCAGAGCTGTTTGACTGCGACCATACAACCATTCTCCGCCATTTGCACGCAATTGGTAAGACGAATCGGTGTGGAAAATGGGTGCCACATCAGCTCAGCGACGCAAACAAAGCGACTCGAGCTACAATGGCTGGAATTCTCGTCCGCCGCGCAAAGACCGCCGGTTTTCTCGACTCCATTGTTACGGCAGATGAAAAGTGGATATGTTACGACAACACAACAAGAAAACGGCAGTGGTTGGACGCCGGTGAACCGCCAAAACCGACTCCCAAACCGAATATCCACGGAAAAAAGGTGATGCTTTGTATTGGTGAAATAGTGAAGGTCTCGTGTATTTTGAGGTGCTGGATTCGGGCCAAAGAGTCACGGCGGATCTCTACAAAGCCCAATTGAGCCGCGCGGACCAGGCATTGCGTCGTCAAGGTAATAACACGGCGACTACAAAATTCCTCCACGATAACGCTCGACCCCACACCGCAAAGATCACTCAGCAGAAAATCGAGGAATTAGGCTGGGAAGTTCTGCCTCATCCGCCATATAGCCCGGACTTGGCCCCATCCGACTACCACTTGTTTCGGTCGATGCAGCACTCTTTAGCAGAAAAAAAATTCAAAAACCGCGAAGAAGTTGAGATCTGGGTGTCCAACTTCTTCGAGTCGCAGTTGCCCGAGTTCTTCGAAAAGGGCATCCATTCTCTGCGTGGAAGATGGCAAAGAGTCTTTGATAATGATGGCGAATATCTTTTGGATTGAGGTTCTGTATTAGGATTTTTATAATAAATTTTGTTTATGGTCCCAACGGAAGTTTCATCTGCACCAACCTAATAGAATAGAAAACGTTTATTATTTATGCTTCAATCTTTTTAAGACGATTTGAATCCACTTTCGAGCAAATTCAAAAGTAAAAAATGTGTTTTTCGTAAAAAAAATCTACAAAAATCTCTACGAAGAAATTGACTGAACAGATGATTCTGAAAATTCAGCTATATACCTACCTTTTTGCGCTTTATCTTTTGCGTTTTTGCGTTTTTCGGGTTGTCGTCTTTTTCACCCAACTTCGCGCCCCCATAAAAAGCCAAAAACAAAATATTTTCATAAGATTTGAACATTATTTTATAGAAAAGGCCTTTCTAATGAAGGAAACCGTAGGTCAATCGGTGAATTTGTCATTTATAAACACTAGTAGAAAAAAAGTATCTAAAGACTGGGCCAACCTAATAAGTTCTTCATCTCTTTTCCCTACCATTAACCCATTGCCGAACACGAAATGAGAAGGCGAAAGCGTTTTGAGAGACTTCTTGCGAGACAGCTCTCACGATGAGAAGTTCCTCTCCGTTTAGACGATATGAGCAAGAATAGAGATTATCCCAGGTGTTTGAGTCCACCGGATAAATAATTAAAGCTCTAAAAGTTTGTTTGATAAATTTGTTGTCAACCAAACAGCAACCGCCATTCACAATGGGGATTCAATGGTGGTTTTCCGTTGATTGTGAATGGATATGGATCTTTGCAGATGACAATGTTCGAATCGGTGTAGTGCTAAATGGGGGAAAAGGATCTCATTTTCGTGTCCCTCCTCAAATCACTCACTTCCTCTTGTCCATTCGGCACCTCGTTGCACACGCGAAAAGAGAAATCGACAAGGAAATCACAATCGACACAACCGTTCACTTGAATGCTCTAAAGTGCTGATCACAATTAATCAATTATGATTCTAATTTAGAGATTAAGACTGAACTTAGGAAACAACTTGAATTAGACAAAAAATAAACACCAGTTGAAGAGTTATATAAGAAAGCCGTGCTCAGCTATTGATTGAGGAAAGTCTTTTTTGATTCTCTCAAATTATTTACCTTCCATTTATTCAAATTAACTCCATGCAAAGCATAAGATGGAAATTGAGTGGTTAAATTGAAAACCGTTATTAACGATTGTGTGGCAGTTATGTAGAAGAAAAAGAATAAGGAGGAAATGGGCATCGTTTAAAACGTCGAACCGATGTGATTTTCTCTACTATTTATGCTGGGACAGCTCGTTTTTTGAGAAAAGAAACCCTGGTATACTTTGTGACTTTGAGAGGGAAAAAAACCCGTCAAGTTCTTAAGTGCTAGCTCAGAATCGATAAACACAAGGAAGGGAATTAAATGAGAAATCGACGGGAAAAGGAGGATTATTTTTATGATAACACGAAATATACCTAAAAAAGATAGGTGAATAGAAAAGAAAATTCATTTTCAGTTCAGTTCCGGTACATCAAAAAACTAAAGAGTTGATAATTTGATATAAAGGTTAGAGATTTTTACAGCATCATGGTAGCTTTTTGTATTTTATTGCAATTTTGTTCGGCCCTGTCGGCTCTCCGTTAAATTTTTTTCTAATTCACTGGTATTTTCACTAAAATGGAATTTGGTGAGATCAAAAATGTTCTCAAAAGCGGCATGATCTTGGGAATGTAATTATGATTTAAAGACAAATACTTAGTTTTAGGTGTAATTATAGAAACCGTAAACTACTCGGAAGTTGTTGGAGTTTGAGAATATCAAAAGCAAAGTACAAACAAATAGCCGTACATGTGGTAGGTGAAAGGGAAAAAGGGAAGGCTTTCATTTTCCCAAAAGCATATGTAAAAGTACAACTGGTGATTACTTTTTAAACGTTGTTTCGGCGATTTTTCGCCTGTGATGGATCGGGTTCTGATGTGCTTGAGATCGCCCTTTAAGATGATGTGAGTAGGTCGCTATATCACCACTTGATATGTTTCAGCATGGGAACTCGGTGTTGAATTGGGTTTATTGTGCTGCTTGGGACTATACTTGGAATGGGGAGTGTGCGACGTGGAATGGGGGAACTCAACTGTCCAACATACGATGTGAGTATTGTTTGTGTCATTATAGTACATCCACACATTCGTCTCCGGCATCTTTTGAATAATTATTTAGGGTTCTCTCATTGCCTACCATAACTGTACAAATTGGGGCTCGGACTCGAGTCAGTGTCCTTGAAACAATGAGATCAAACAATGAGAAGTATCCCAATAATGTCGTTCCTCTTTTGTCAATAATATTCCGCAATGTATCTCAAATAAAAGCTTTGGCATGTATTACGAACATGGCAATAAAAACACAAGCGTTCCAAATATAAGGAGATTACAGTTTTGATCAGAGCTTGCCATCACCTGGGCTCCTTTTGGTCATTTCAACTTTGATAAACTTTAGATGAGAATAGCAAAACTTGTAAACGAAATATGATCTTTTTTTATACACAGGGTACCGAAAGTGGATGGCCCATAGTTGTGGGGGTTAGTAAGGTCGAATACTGGAGCACAAAGTTGTCAGCCAGTTTTCTACCTTTTTCACCCAATGTTGAATCTTCAAAGATGCTCGATCGATGACTTCAGCTTCTAAATTATCCAAACAATCGTTGAAATTGTTGAAATTGCCGAAATCACTGATCATCACATACAACTCGTCGACTTGTTTCGAATTGGCGAAGACCTTGTTGAATGCCGAAAGTTCCTTCTCAACGAAGTCGTAACATCCATCTTTTGAAATTCAAAACTGAACATCGTTCAAGTTGTGTCAAGAGAAAATTCGAAATAAAATAATGATTGAAATAACGAGGAGTTGATTGAGAAAATTTCTCGACGTCAGTGATGTAGAAGTCTGGATCGTATTCTTCTTCCTCATCCCAACCAATGGATCTATGGTTGATGTCAATTCAAATGGATTTGTTTTCCAAAAATCCGTACTGGTTCCTGGAGAAGAATCCATCGAAATTCCCTGTCAACTTTCATCATTTCGGGCACATCTTCTGGGTCCAATTCATCGTTTATTTCCAAAAGCGGATCGTAGCAGAGTTTGCCCATCGGGAAGTTGCAAAGTTTGGGCATCTCGAATGAAGTTCTGCCACTCTGCCTGAAAATTGAAAAATTAGAAAAGAACAATCAGTAAATATCTGGCAGAAAAGTTGGCTACAGAACAAAAACAATCAACGAGGTGGGGACAAATGCCGATTTTTAGCTAAAGTTCGATAAAATCTTTAATTTTTCTCAAGCTTGTCATGATTTCTAGTGCCTAAACAACAAGAATCAAAGCTCTACATCTAAAAGGAGCAAAAATTGACTCAAATCATTTAAAGAGTCGCTGTTTTTAGCAAAAAGCGTGTCGTAGACCAAAAATAGCCCATTATAATGCATTATGTTTGCTCGCCAAACTCTACGAGTTTTTACTCGCTATAAACATAATAGCATTTTTCTCATAAACTCTGGATTTGCGTTCAGAAAAAAAAAGTCACTGAAAAGAGAAAAGTCATCAAGAATTGATTGAACACTCAGAAAAACTGTGCACAAAAGAATGTTTCTTGCACAATTTGTAAGGTTGTTTAGACATCCGAAAAAGACGGTCTGGCATTTGGGAGAATCGATTTGAGACGAATTCTCCTATATCTTGATCATCTTGAACGAGTTTCGAGGATTCGCTTGAACTTAAAGATCTTGCAATTCTCTAATAAAGATATTACAATATTGAAGAAATTCAAACTGGATTTGTGTTCAGAAAAAAAGCCACTGAAAAGAGAAAAGTCATCAAGAATTGATTGAACATTCAGAAAAACTGTGCACAAAAGAAGGTTTCTTGCACAATTTGTAAGGTTGTTTAGACATCTTTTTGCCTCTGAAAGTTTGATTTGCATTGTTTTCCAAACCTGAAAAATCTGCTTACAATCGATTACAAAAGATTTGTACAGATTTCACGATTTTCTCGGTGAAGGATCTAGTCAAGGATCACGTTCTGACTCTCAAAATCCTCTTGTCATTCTTCTCTGAGATTCTTATCCTTCCATTTCTTCTTCACACTTTAAAATCCTCTCCCATTAAAAGGCGAAAGGAAGGATTCGCATCTCTGACCAATGTTCCTTTTGCAAATAATTTCCGTCTTAATTTTCATTTATTCGATATTTTGTGAGACTTGTCTAATTGGATTTAATCTGTCACCGAAACAAATCCGAAAAAGACCGTCTGGCATTTGGGAGAATCGATTTAAGACGAATAATGTAAGTAAGCTATAAAGTTATAAATCTTCACGAAATTCAATTTATAAGGATCGATCAAATGATGGGAGTTTTGGTGTGAAATTTTGTATGATCCCGAAGAATATGTCATCGTCTATGCGAATGATGATGTGTGATTTGTATCGACTCATTCATGGGGCAAGAGTCTTGAGTGATGAGACGAAAAAGTTCAGTTTCAAGAGTCTAATTTTATGAATTTAATTGCAGAAGATGCTTTGAGAAGGTCACAGAAAAGAATGAGAAAACGAAAGTGCCCACGTTTTTCGTCACAAGAGAGCCCATTGAGAGATTCATTTCCGCGTACATTATGATTTGTTTGTAAGTTTTGCCGAGCTTTTTATAGGAAAAGGGGTACTTTTCGGTTATATCTCCGCCACTAAAATAAATGTTTCTTTGCTGAAGTGGCTAATCAAAGTACCAAGACGCTGGTTGACAAGATTTTGGAATTTATCACTCGGATCGATGATTTGGAGGTTATTGACGTCAAAAACCTCTGCCGAACTGACATCAGGCTAGACTAAATTCACAAATAGACGCATTGATGCGTGGGAGGCGCTAACCGCATAGTACCGTTTTTTAAAATTTTGGAGTGGCGGAGGTATAACCGAAATGGGGAAAAGTAGGTAAATTTGATGATCAGTTTATTATAAATTTGAGGAAATATCTGTAAAACTTGAGAATTTGCTCTCATCTTGCTTTGTTTTTAATCATTTACCATTTTCTAGGCGATTAGGGAGTTGTTCCGAATCCCAACAAGAATCAGTTCATCCGTTTATCGATCAACTTTATCAAGATTTTCGACAACATTTCCAGCCAAAATGGAATGGAAAAAGAGCGCAATTTGTTGAACAACATCTTGGATTGCAAACTTGGTGAGAAGAATGAATCAAAGAAATAAAATAAAATGATAATGATGAAAGTAAAAGAATTTAGGCATTGCAACTCAAAGCGCTCAACCATAATCAAAATGGGGAAAGGATTGAGTGATGATGTTGAGAGATATTTAGTGGAACATCAAGTTGCTGAGCTGTACGCAAGAATTGTATGAGTTTTTCTTCTAGTAAAAAGCGTGTAGTGTTGCTTTTGAATGGTTTTGTCAAATTTTTGACTAAATTAAGTGAAAAAATCTGGTTTTAGGCAACGGATCGTCTACGTGGGGATCATTTGAATGAGATGCCGATTGGACTACGCAAATTGAGAGAACACATTCGATCAGAGATCTACTCGAATTGTTCGTCTCTTCAAAAACTCGTTCAAATCTATTTTGTCGATTTCATCGAATTGGGATATCCGTTTCCCGTTTTTGAGGGAAATAAATTAAATTCGAATTTGACAAATTCCGATTTTGCTTGCAAGCATTCATACTGTAAACCTTGGTGTTATCGCTCTTGTTCGATGAATAAAAATGTGTAATTGATTGGAGATTTGTCTGCTTTCTATGCTTATTGAATCAATCAGAAATCGTTTATTATCATTAAAACAAAAAGAAAATGGAAGAAAAAGAAAGAAAAACAAAAAAAAAAAAAAAAAAAAAAAAAAAAAAAAAAAAAAAAAAAAAATAAAAAAATATTAAAATGAATCTATAAAAGACTAAACAATATAAATTCTTTCTTTAATAGACACTTAATCATCAGAAACTTTGAAAGAAATCAAAAATCAAATGCTTGATTGAAAGATCTCACTTTGGAAACTCTGAAATCTAGTTTAAAGGTTGTAATAAAGGCTTCAACACAGTACTTCATTCAATCTAAAACCTCTGGACTATCTAAAAGGTATTTATTTTAATCGCTTGGTTTCTTAAACGTTATCATTTGATATATTACATAGAGTGGGTTCCTTTTTAAAAAAAGAGATTTATAGCAAGAATAAAAAAATCAGCAGATTTATATCTTTATGCTTTATTCAGAGGGCGAATAAAAGCGAATCAGATAATCATAAATAGCATATAACATATGGCTACACAAAAAGAAAGAGAAAGAAAGATAAAGAAAGAAAACTAAAAATAGTACAGTAAAACTACAGTTAGGAAACACAGGTACAAAAAGATTAAATATAGGGCAGATTTGACATGGCAATAAGATCTAATTCGCTTACAGATACTTTCAATTTTCCGACAGACGAGAAGATACCAGACTTGGAAAAAACGATCATTTCTTCTCAATCCGACTGCTTCTTTGATTAAAATTGATTCCAGCTTCGTTTCAGGAACTTCATTTCTAGCTATAAACTTGAAAAATTTCTTTACTTTTACAGCATTTGGTGGAATGACGATTTTCTTGTTGATTTATGATTATGATTGACATTAGACAGATAAGAAAAAGGGGCTTCTTTTCTGTTGAATTCTTCTTTTCACTTTAATTAAATTTCTAACAAGTTTATGTTCTTCCAAATAATTCTTCTTTTGATTTTCGAGAAAATCGGTTTATTTTGCTAAATCAAGCCAATCAAAAGCAGTTTCAAAATCGAGTTTTTAGCAAAATCCTCACAAAGTGTAAAGATCAAGCCCGACTTGGATCGTTAGTGGTTATTACATAAGAAAATATTCTACAGCTCAAAATCTTCCCTATTTAGTCTGTTGTGTGTATTTGTTTTTGTTTAAAATTGAATCATTCAAAATAAAACGGAATCAGAATCTATGCTAAATGAAAGCGTAAATAACTACCAAAAGTTTTGACGAGTTATGCAATTAAAGAGTTTGAGAAACTTTCATAATTTCAATTCATAACAATTCGACAGAAAGTTGATTAAAATTGTAGACAATTCCATGCCTCAAAAGATCATTTTACCCTCGATAACTAAAGGACAAGTTTCTTTCTTTGCTTTCTTTTGCTTTCTTTTTCTTTGTTTTTCAAAAAAGATCATTAGGAAATCATCAAAAAATAGAAAATTTCCGTCAGAATCGATGTCTCCATGGTTGCCAATTGTTTTGCGCATCTCTTCCTCTCTTCTCTTCATTTCCTATTCGTCTAGCTTTCTTTTTTCTTAGACTTTTGAAATTTTCTTAAGTATATCTTTATCTTAAAACATCTAAGCTTTCTATAGAGTTTCCTTTTTCCATTTTTCGACTTCTAAATATCAAAATCAAAATCACCTAAACTCATGAAATTTAGCGTGAACATGTCCTTCGGATTCCCCGAGTCAACGATTTGTGCTCTTCGTGAGATGTGTGAATCGTTTGATGTGGATCGAATTGGATACATTTCGTCGATTCAATTGATGCAAGCAATGAATGGAGTTACTGGGATGCAGTTGTCAAAACATCAAATTGATGGAATGCTTGATGAAACGAATACGAATGGAGAGGGACAAGTCAATTATGAAGATTTCTTGAAGATGGTCGGTTGAAAAAGCAATCAAATAGTCAAATTCATTACAAGTTCTTAGCTTTTTTTTTCTTAACTGTATTTGGCCTCAAGAAATGACGATTTTTTTGAATAAAGTCTTAAACAGCCAATAAAACTGAGCAAGTAAACTACAAGTCGAACAAAATGAGGTCAAATTTAATTCAATAAAAAGAAAAACAGTCAAATAGTAAAGAATTTCCAGATCTTGAGATTACAATTTTGGAAAGAATTCAATTCTTTGACAAAACAATATTTAAAACAACATAAAAGGATTTAAATAAACGCAAACTTTGACTTGTTATTTATAAAAGAATCCCGTATCATTTCCCGGGATTGAGCAAGGAAATTGAATAAATTGTGATCTTATTATCAGATCTAACAACATTTGTCTATTCCTCCATTTATCTCTTTTCCCCAATAATCTAGAAATCATCAAATTTGTGAAAATGAAAGGATTTTCGTCTCTTTACAACAACCGTCTTTCAGAAATTCAAGAAAGAATGATTAAAAGAAAAATTTGAATAATTTTAAACTAGGATTTAACATTTCATAAAGTTTAGAGATGAGCTTATACCTGGATACTGTCATCTCATCTTATGAAATATTCATTCAAACTGCTCTAAAACAATGCCCAATTCTCTTCTTTGTCGATGGCTCATCGTACTCTGACGTTAGTTCAGTTTCAAGCGGTGATAACGAGGAAGATTTCTAATGCAAATTTTCACGAATTCCGAATCACTACAAATCGCCAAAAAAAAACTTTGGAGTCTTATCGCTCAGAAAAACGGCACCAAAGATCTTGACTTTACAGGGAAAAGATGACGAACGAATAGATTTCAATAGATTTCAATTTTTACCTGCCTTTTTCCGAAAATTCGAACAGCTGCCTGAGTTGTTTGGTGTTCATTTAGATTCAAAAGTCATAAAAACAAGAACTAGATTTAATAGTAACGCAACTAGAAATAAATACTCACGGTTTGAATGTGAAAACAAGTTTTGCCTGTGCCGTCTCAAAACCTTTTGGCATCTTCGGGGGAGGTCTTATGCGCTATGAACCCTGTTTAACGGACATTCTTTTTATTGGTGGTGAAATAAATAGTTATTTATAAAATCGATTGCCACACAGTAAATTTACACTGATCAATGGAGTTTCATTGCACATCTGATAAGTGCTGGATTTGGAGCGCTTGATGTTGAATGGTAAGTGGGATTGAGATGGAAAAGAATTGAAAGATTTTAGTGTCACTTATCTCTTTGATAGCTATAAGGAAAATAATTTGAGTAATGTTAAAAGTGATGAAGATATTTGAATTTGTTTTTTTTATCCTCCTTACTTATTTTGTATGCTTTTGAAACGTATTCTCTCTAATAGTAGTGCGCGCTACTATTTTTTCAATCCCTTTCTAGACCGCAATACTATTAGAGAGAATACGGAATATAAATTTATTCAGATAGCTAGCTTCTAATTTCAAAGAACAACACTGCGAATAAACTGGAATCGATTGTGCCCATTCACTTTTGGATATTCTGAGTCACAATACATTAAAAAGGCTTTAGAGAATTTCTCGAGAATGGGTCTTAAATCGTTTAAGAGATGTTTGTTGATGGGAAAAAGGAATGTTTCGTGTCATTTCTTTCCTCATCCCATCACATAAATGATTAGAGCAAAAAGTTTAGGGTAAAAAAACGGCTCTTATCAGAGAAATGAGTATTTTAAAGAAGTCCAGAAAGTCCAAACTGATTTCTGATTGATTTTATTCACACCTTTTATTCTATCCAACCGATTCAAATGATTTCTTTTAGAACAATCTCTTTAACTCTTTTCTTTGCTAGCAGTTTGGCAGGTAGTTAAAAACTAAAATCTTAAGAGTAAAGTAGAGTTTATCAGCAATCCATCAATGCCCAATAATAAGTGCATTTAATTCCCTTTTAAGATACTCAGAAATAGAATAAAACTCTATTTCTTAGTCATTTAGAGCCGTCTTTTTGCCCAAATGGATCCGTCTACAATGACGGAGAATGTATTTATGTTGATAGCACAAGTAAGTTTTCAATTTCATCCATCAAACAATACACAATTCTCTTCAATTCACAATCCTTCTCTTTATTCAAAGTTTTCATTCGTGTAACCAAGAGAAAGTTTCATCTAAAACGTTCAGCTAGCAGATTTCAGAGGCAAGCTACCCTTTGGCGAAAGAGTTTTGCCAAACGTTGAACGGCCGACCCGTTCAAATTCGAGCTGGCTTTGATAATACGTTCGTTTCGAAACGCGCAAAAGGTTTTTGAATTTAATCTTTTTCAAAACTTGAGCTTTTGAGCAAATGGAGTCAATGATCAAGCATACATTGGAGTGGTCCAGGCATCAAATGGAAACTGGACGTATGATGATGGAACTTCACTGCAATATAAGAATTGGAAATCGGGTGGGCAGTCAAGGGACATGTTCAGTTTCCGATTGGATCGATTCAAAACAAACAAAACAGACCAAAGCACGTCACGTCTAGGAGCCAATGATTTAAACAAAACACAAAACTCTTTCTGACCTATAACATTGTCTAGAATACGGAAAAAACCTAGGCCATCCTCAGTCAAATTCGAGTTGTGCCGTGTTGGATATAAAGGACGATCAATGGTTATCGGTGAACTGCAACGAAGATCGCCACTTTGTCTGCTCGACTCCAAACAGGAGATGTAAGTTAGCCTCTAACTGTACTTGCAAGCTAACTATAGCAAAATAACTTAAGTTCTGATCCGAGAAGTCTTTTAAAGTCTTCTAAAAAGCACGATCGTTGTACCATTCGATCAAGTTTGTCGTAATTTGCGGATAAAAATTTGCCACCTTTTCAGCGTGTCCCACAAGAGACTGGTACTATGAAGACGGGATCGGTTGTATGAATTTTTTAATCTTCAAAATGGGATGGGAAAACGCTAGCAGCTATTGTCATGAGTCAGATTCGTGGCTGATTGCCACCTCAAACGAGGCAACACAAAGCTATATCCATTGTTTGTGGTCACCATTGAGCTTTATTTATTTTTGTTTAGTTAATACTAGGGGGATGAGTAAATGGATCGGTCTATTTCGAGTCGATAATAACTGGTTCTGGGACTCAAACAATTCACCAATTCCATTGGTAAAACAGTTTAGACAGAAATTAATTAGTAAAATGAGCTAATACTGATTAGATATTTCTAGACAAACTCTTCTTATCAAAACTGGATGGGTGGAGTAATGCCGCCTGTTGATCCGGTGAACAATTGTGCAATCATGAATCATGACGGCTACTGGGTGGCTGTCGATTGCAATGATCCATATAACTTTGTTTGTCAACAAGACAGCCAACCATCATCATAATGATTCTTTATGTATTTTGTAAAATCTGTGATAAGTATCATTAAATTTTCTCTTTTTCAATTTTACATAACAAGAGTACAAAAGTCAGCTAGAAACATTGCAAAATGTTTTCTTTTTCTTTTTCCAGGTTTAGGAGAGTTTTTAGAGTTACAAAAGGAAAACTTTCAAAATAAAAACACTTTGCAATAGTTTGAATAGCAAAAATCCAAGAGCTCAACAGAATAAAGAGAGCTGACAAAGTGTTTCAACTACTGTGCTCTTTATTCACTCACAAGGTCTACCTCCTGTCACGAATAACTGGATCAAACGTGCCGACATTCTTAGCGAATTCGAGTGCTCGGATTGGATTGGATGGATTCCAGCTCTTTTTTTGCCTATGTTTATGCTTTATAGAAATTGACGGATGCAGCGAGAAATGTGTTGATGGCGATGCTTACATCAACCATCCGCGTTTGGCTCTGTGCCAAAAGTGCCATTTTACCAATAGAAAAATGGCATTTTAGCGCACTATTCTTCAAGGCTGTTTTTCTCTATGTTTTTATCGGTGAGTATACAAAACAACTTTTAACGGTTGCCATTAAATAATAGAAATAAAAATTTATTCAATTGCAAAACAATATGAGTGAACTAAAGTATTAATGAAAAAATAGGCTTTATAGAGATTTTTTTTTAATTTATTCAAAAACGCAGGCGGATGAATGAGGGAAAGCAGACTCAACATATTTACAGACTCAAAAAAGTGAACCCAAACAAAACACGGACTAATTCTAAGAAAAAAATTAGTGATCAAAGACAAAGACAAACCTAAATGCAAAGAGACCACTATGAGGCCACTAGACTCACTAAAAAAGTGGTTAAACTTTTGGGCTAATTCTCACGAATGCCACGAAAGCCGATGATCAGAATGATCAACGGCCAAAAGTTTAACCACGTACACACGAACCGAAACCCAGAAAGAAAAACAGCTACGCTGTTCAAACTATAAGAGAAAAAAGGAAAAAGATCACAAAATTTAGAAAAAAATAAACAAACTCAAATTTCCTTTCGACATGCAGCACAGAGAAGTTGTCCATCACGTGCTCGAGCTTTTGCTTCATCAGCTCGATAATGCAACGTGGCATCAAAACATCGTCTGAAATCAGAATAACTTATTAGAGATAACTTTTGAAAAAAAGAACTTACGTATGCCACCATTTTGAACATCCGTCTTGGCATTTCAAACACGCTTTGCCATACATTGTTTTGTGACATTTGGGGCAACCCTCATTTTTCTTCATGTGTTTATCTAAAAAATCAAAAGATCTTATAAAGTCAAAGATTTAATACTTTAAAAGTTTCAAAATAATGAAACAATTCTATAAAATCTATTATTGAAAAAATACAATAGAAATTTGATGTACCTTCATTTTCACCACTCGATGCACTTTCATGGCCACGAGGAGTCGAAGAACGAGTTGAGTTGGTGGGAGCGCCATCGTCTTCATTGTCGTCGTGGTGCGGGGCCATCTGAAAAAATGGAAAATCAAATAGTAATAGTGATTAAACAGGAAAATTTAAGTAGTAGTAAAGTTTTACCTTGTTGGAAGGGCCTGGTTGATCGCAGTCGGAAACGGACTCAGCTTCAGAGATCGCCTTCAGGCCACTCCGAAGCAGATGGCCTGAGTGACGTCGCTTTCGGTGAGTGACCACAGCGGCGGGCGAGGGCGGGCGAGGCAGACAAAGTGTATCCGCCAAGTGATTAAAGGCATTCCAACCTGAAAGTGATTATTAATCTTTTATTAATTGAATACACACAAAGACTCTTAAAAAACTATGATAACTAAAAAGAACCTACAGGGCATGAGTGATCCATCAATCATGATGTAACGTCGAGCTTCGTTGAGTTTGTAACGGAGCTTCGTTGGGGCTTTGCGTCTTCGATGATGTCGACGAATGATTAAGCTTTTTTAAACGTTTCCATACAGCCTAGAAATATTTAGTAAATTGTTGTAATTAAATCAAAATTGGTATAAGTGCCAAAAAGTCAATAGTTATATTTTATTCTATCAAATTTTTAAAAATTTAACATAATTTCAATTCAAATCTTGTCAATTTCTATTCAAAACCCTAAAAAAGTTTCCTGCATGTTTAAACAGTTTAAACAATGTTTAAACAGGAGAAGGGGAGAAATTAAAAACATTATCAGTCCAGAAAAAACTTTAGAGAAGAATAAAAAACCCTACATTACCGCCTAAACGACTGAGAGTTCTGATGAGTTTGTCGGTAGAGGTGAGTTGAAATTGTTGAATCATCATTCCTTCCAGTTCCCAGGGATTGACTTCATCCGCACTCATGTGAATCCAGGCCATGACTACTTTCAGCGCCATCAACTCTTTCTCACGATCCAAATTGTTGATCATCTAAATTTAAAAATTTAAAAGGAGAACATGAAATGTTAAAATAAATCGAAAACACAATTAGTCAAGCGACGATTTCAATTTAAATCAATTTTCTTTTAAAATATCCAAAGTTTGGTCAAATATTTCAAAGAGACGACATAATAACAAAACATTCTAGATCCTCTGTCATTTGAAAGCAGAAATTTCGAAAAGAAATTGTAATTGTTAGAAAATTCAGAATAACAATGAAGCTAGCTATCAATTCGATTAGTGAACGAAAAATAGAAACAAATATAAAGAAATGAACTGAAGTAAAGATAACCAATTTAGAGAAAAAAATGCGTGAATTCTTGAAAAAAATTTTTGTCAAAAATCTTCCTTTTATTGAGCTCTTAAATTGAATATCTTATTCAAATTAAATGAGTTATAGGTAAAAAAAGGAAAGAAGAATCTGATCGTAATGCCAAAGTGATTGGACCGGATAACCGAAAACCCTGAGTACCCTGGCGAAAGAATTCTCTTTCACTGGAATCTTTTAACTTTTTGGTTTCCATTACTTCACACACGTATAATTTGAATAGCTCTCTTGTAAGACGAAATTCGTTTTGTTGTATTCTTGGAAAAGTGCGTTGATTTGAATTAAATCGTTGAAATTGGCGGCTGTCACAGTGATGATTGTCTAAAGGAGAAATCATTAGATCAACTAAAATTAGCCTTTAGACGAAAAATCTCCAAAGTTATTCCACTCATCGAATCGATTCCATAGAAAATGAAAGATGAATTATCCGAATCTAGTGGATAATTCAAAGTGGTTGCTGAAGCAATCGACTATTCGACTGAAAGTAAAGTGGAAGATATTGTTTTCTTGCTTGCGTAACTGGAAATCCTAAAGCAATACGTGAAAAGAGTTGCAAATGATCGAATCTTTAGACACAATTCGAATGTTCGAATCTGATCGCCAAAAATAAAACATTGAGATTGAAAGAAAAAGAATCAAAAGTGTTAGAGTTTTTAGGATATCGATTGATTGAATTTATGAGCGACTTTTGAAGGTATCTTTGCTTGTAATGGCTGTTTTTGCAAAGGCCTCATTTCACCACTTCACTATTATTCTGACAAAAGGTTAGAAGAGACAAAATTCAAAAGAATTTGATTGCCCAAAAAGGTACCCATTGAATAGCTGATTCCTATCTGTTATCCAAGATCTTTGAATAAGTAGCCATCCATTAAAGGTTCAAAACTTTGTCTAGAACTAATATTACTCATATAGTTTTAAAGAAGACATTTTTTGTTGAGAATAAAATCGAGTTTGATTGCATTAACTAATCTTGAGAAAAGAGTTAGACTGAGAGACCAACACCAACAATGATATGCATCTTTTTTTTCTCAATTTTCTCAAGTTGCACTCGATATAGAATAAAATCCTTTATTTTTGTTAAAATGAAAGTAAACAAATCTACAAAATATGAACTTGATTATTGAGAATTTCAATGTTTAGCGAACACCAAAGAACTTTTATTGAATTTGACTGAACAATTTGCATCAGTATCCGTGTGAGTTGCAATGAATCTCGGAGAATGGTTGCTAAAATGGTAACTTCAGATAAAAAGATATTTTACTTACCCCCGCCACTTGCCATTCATTTCCAATCACACAACGAAAGACGCCATTCGACTTTGATTTAAGAATCTGAATTTCTTCCATAGATTACATTAACTCTTTAACTCACAGGCATTCCACCATCATTGTAGGTCATGATATTTGCAGTGGCGTTGTACGGACGATACACGGCAAACCACATCTGAAATTTGATGGTAAACCATAGGAATTGTAAGCCAGACAAGGCAAGGCCAAAACCAGGCCGGTAAAGATGACTTTTTGTGAGTGATGTCTGTGGCAAAGCCAGGTCAAGATCTGGTTTATAATCAGGTTCTAAACCTGAGCTTATCTATTGGGTTGGGGAGAATGAGTCGGCGCCGAAAATGAAAAAAATGTCTAAAACTTCTATTCGACTTCGTCAAATAATATGCGTTTGATACTCATAGAATGGTTAACTAATTCTCTACAAAATGACATTTAAAAGAAAATTCAAACAGCGCCTCCGCTCAAGAAAAAGCCATTTTTTCACAAAAACTACAAACTGTGATCTAGAAAAAACCATTGGTGGGATCTTCCTGCAAATTTGGCAACTTAAGTAATTGAATGTGCTCTATCTTTTTTATATAAACACCAAAGAAGGTTTATGTGAAAGAAACTGTTCAAATGATGAGTCGGACTCTTTGCCATTGTTAACCAGCTGCGTTTGGAAGTTCATAAACTCTACGAAAGAAAAGCTTTGTGGAATCTCTCAAAAGTGATTTTGTAGAGAAATAGTGGATCCTTTTGATGAAACCAAACGTATGTTTAAAGAAGGCTTTATGTGTGCAAAAAGTCCCTTTAAAGTTTGGCGCCGACTCATTCTCCCCAACCCAATAGTTTACAATCCTAGGCCAAGCCTGGATTAAGAGCAAGTCTGTCAAGGCACTAAAACATTGCTTCTAATCTGACCTTGGCTTAGCCTCACTTTTAACTTTTCTCATATGCTTAAAAGCTTAAAGAATAATAGTAAACTCATCATTTTGTTAGGAGTGATCGTGCATACAAATTTCGCTGTCAAACATCCAGAAGCATCTGTGCTAAAACAAACTCTAAAAATAGCTTAACAATAGCTATTAACAATAGCTATCAACAATAGCTATCAACAATAGCTATCAACAACATCAATTTGTTTAAAACATTACGTGTAATTGAACGATAAATCCCCATCATCTCCAGCTCTCAGAAAACTGTTCAGATTTTGATTACAACCAGAAGCACAAGCTAAAAACAGCTAAAACAATGAAAAAAGAGCAAAAAGAAAAGAAACCAGCTGGAGTGTTCGTTGTGGAAGTGGTTGTCTGTAAAGCTAATCTTTAACTTTCAAAATAAATAACAAACCGTTGAACAATCAATTGGATGAAGAACTTGAGCTGGAGCCAATTGAAGCCCACATTGAGTCGCATTAGTCACGAGATTTTTCACCTATTTTAATTCATAATTGACTTATAAATCTATTAATTGTACCACAACTTGTCCTCCCGAACAAGGTGCTCCAGTTGGACAAGGTTTCTTGGGACAAGCATAGGTTTGGGTGGTTGGACCACTAAGTTTCTGATTTTATTTGAATACAGTATGCTCTTATCTTTAAATCCTTTATTACAATATAAAGAACTATATAAAGATATATAAAGAACTTTCAAATAGCTTTAAATGCTATAATAAACTTTTCTAGCCTAAAAAAAACTTGTCTTTCATGTCTATCTGGTCATAAGTTTGCTCATCGTTACGAAAAATCGATTAAATTTTCCCCTTTTCGGTATGTTTTTTAGTAGCTTTCTTCTAAGGCACTTTTTAGAATCAAAGAATAACCTAATTCTCAATTTTTCGTTTATTTTTCGATTCTAAATCGATCGATTCGATTCTTTTGTTTTGAAAACTCACGTGCACGCACATCCATAACTCGCCGATTCACAAGTTCTTGTCTGATTCACTTTCCCGAAGAGGCCACAAGTTGCTGTACAAGCACCAACATTTGACCAAGCTGACCAAACACCTGAAAACTGTAAAGATTTGAAAGGAAGCACTTGTTCACCTTCAGCAGGACAAGGGAAACAGTTGAGTGGGACCTAAAATCATTAATTTTCAAGTTCACCATCAAGATAAAGCTCAAAAATTCACCATCCCATATATCATTGCACGCTGGGTATACATAATCGGTTGTGCTTGTCACATTGCCGCAAAGGTATGCGTTTGTAGCTGTCGATTTGTACTAAACATGTGAAAATTTGCAATTCAAGTGCTTTTTTTCACCTTTGTGTATCCGGCGGCACAGACTGGAGCTTTTGTGCAAGGAGTTGGAGCACAAGGAACGACACGAGAATAGACACCGCTGTAAGAAATCGTTTGGTTCTGGTTGCTCATTAACTTAAAAATGTTTTCAATTAGCTAATTACTGACTTGCATGGACATCCAAATGACCAAGAGTCACACGTTCGACGCTGCACTTTTCTCCCGAAAAGACCGCATGTTTTTGAACAAGAAGTGTAGTCAATCCATTTCGACCAAGCGCCTAGAGATGAGGAAATTCATGAATTGAAATCAGAAATGGACGTATTCAGAAGAATTGAGCAAACAATGGCAATGATTTGTCCAATGATAAATGATAACTCTTAAGAGCTTTCAAATATTAGGTACATGCATAAGAAATGCGGATTTCAACATTTCCATAAATTTTCAAACGATAGAAACCCGATATCGATGAATGTTATAAACTATTTAAAAGTTGTAAATCTCCTCTACAAAATAGGCTAAAAAATGTTTCAATTGATCGAGCAATTGAAGAAATTTCGAGGGCGAAATGCGAGTAACCAAAAAAGGATCGAGTCACAGTTTGGAATAACTCCAGTTTGATCAAACTAAAGTTAGCTTCCCAAAATTGACCCGATTTAAAAGAATAACTATATATTAATAAAAAGTCTAACGGAAACGCATTTACAAAAATTTAGATAAGTTCGCGCAAATAAAAAACCGGCACAAAAAAAGAAAAATATTTTAAAAAAAAGTTTTCCCAACTCTTAGTTATTTTGAATGATATTTTATGGCGCCATTTTCCACATAAAACCGAACTCTTGTGAAAGTGGGGTTTTCAAAAGGTGCCTTTTTTTTGGTCACTCGCATTTCGCCCTCGAAATTTCTTCAATGGTTCGATCAATTGAAACACGTTTTGGCCTATTTTGCAGAGGAGATTTACAACTTTCAAATAGTTTATAACATTCATCGATATCAGCTTTCTATCGTTAAAAATTTGGTCACTTCAATGGTCACTTTCGCACGTTTGTAACTTCCTTGTCTTTGAGTTTAAACCATTAGTGTTATACATTTTCTGAAAGCTCTTTTCAATGGCTACACAATGGTAATATTAATATTTAGAAATACGGTAAAGACAAGGGAGTTACAGACGCGCGAAAGTGCGAAAGTGTTTTTTCAAATATGATATTTCATTGTCCAGTAGTGTACCTAATACAAATCCTTTTCTCTTTTTACAAATCCAAATCTTTTTTAACCTTTCCAGATCGAATTCATACAAATTACTAAACTTTCCGGATTCAGAAACATCAAAATTTAATTCTTTTAACCATTTCTGATCGATTTTTTTGTTTAGTTTAAAGATTACCATTTGGAATAGTTGAACATGAATCACAACAAGCGTCACTGGGACCATAACATGGTGGCCAAAGGTCCCCAATCGCGTTCACGCAAGTCACTAAAAACTTTGAAATAATAAGAAATCTTCTAAAACAAACCCGCAACAATAAAGAATGTAGTTTTCAAAAGCATTTCGAAAGTGAAAATGAAAGCTTATCCGAATGGCCCGCTTCTCGTTTGAACATTTGTTCCAATTTTTATGTTTTTTTATGTAGTTCTCCAAAATAAACCAACTATTGTGCGATTTTCAATTAAAAACCCGTTTCTTTCATGCACAAAAAGTTTGAAAATCAACGTGCAAATGGAGCTGATCTCTCGTGATGTTTAAGCTCAATTTTCTGTTCAAATTTTTGCTTTTAAAGTTGAATAGCGGTGCTTGATAGTTGTTTATTATTCGCAGTTTTTTCTATTTCAAAAATCTGGCTTTGTAGATAATAAAATAAAGTAAACGATATTCAATTTTACATGTTCTCAATAGATTTCATAATGTAAACCTTTGAAAAAAAGGAAAAACTTTGATTTTTGAACTCTGTTGTTTACAATAGTTTTTTGGAACATTTTCAGAATTGCAAAAAAAATGAGATGACAGTAGATTTACACATAAAAATGAAGTTATAATCAATCATTTACTGGATCTAGCTTTCAGATTAAACGAGAGCAACACTTGCAGATAATTTATCTAGTCATGGAATAAACTTTTGGAAAGTTACAATAATAAAACAATGCTCAATAATCGGTTTTTCGAGAAGATCCTGTTTGAAGGTCACAAAGTTCACTCTCATTTTGTTTGTTGTAACTCTAAATCGTTATCAAGAAGGTAACCTTTAAGAATCTTAATCTTTAATACTTATTTTACTAATGTTTACTAGTTATCTTAAAATCTGGATAGAAGACTGGAAGATAGAAGACTTAAAGACTGGATAGAAGGCTTGTCTCTTAGTCGAGATGTCAAAACTTTCCCAGCGGCTAGAAAAATTGATTCTTTTTCCCATTATGAGTTTTTTCTAAACATAGATATAGTACCCAAAAAATATAATATATAGAAAAAAGGTCACCTGTTAATTTCGGTGTAAAAAAAAAAAAAAAATATACAGAAGCGATAGGGGAAAAAAACCCAAAAAAATGCAAAAAAATAAAAAAAAAAAAAGTCAGGTAAAAAAAGACAAAGCCCGGAAAAAGGACTGACCCGCCTCAGAGTGGGCTTAAAGAAAAAAAAAAAATAAGAAAATATAATGGGACAAAACTTTGGGGGGCCAAAAAAAACAAGATAAAAAAGTTGGCCCGACTAACAAAAAAATAATATGGGTAACTAATTGTAAGGGTTGTTTTGTAACTTGCAATTCATTATTTCGTGTCGAATAAATATATTTTTTTTTAAACTAACCGGAAAATAGTAGCAAAACAAGCACATGAGTAAAATAGCCGTTATGAAACCACTGAAAATACCGAAAAATTGCAAACATGGAATCATAGTAAATTTGTTGCTCATATAAAATAGAAACTCAACTAATACATTATTTTTCTCAATCATCTGTATGCATCATTCTCTTATCGGTGAGAGCACTTTAAAGGTAATAAAATAGTCTGAAAGGAATACGTAATCAAAAAATTCTTTTAAGTGAAATACTTTATTTGGACTTGAAAAAAGAAACAAGCAAAAACTTTAGAAATTTAGAGATGAATCTGCTGAGTGAAGCTGAAATAAGAATTTTTTTCAGGAAACTATTTACAAAACATGACTTTTACGTGTCTATCATCATTCTTAACACTGATTATTTTATCTGATTATGGGAAATTAACCAAAAAACATTTCATTTTACCTTCAATTAAAATTATTCTAAAAAGTTATGAAAGAAAAGCTTTTAGAAAAGGATTAGGTTCTAAAAATTAAAAAATTAAAAATTAGTAAAATCTTAAACTCGTGGGAAAGTGGATGGGGTGAAGGGGTGGATCTGAGAAGATCGTACCGTAATGTCCCCACCCCCCGTACAGTCACGTAGTCTCAGAAAGTTTTTTAGTATTTCATTTTTTTCAAAGGCCCGTACTTTCAAAATGTTTTTGGTACAAAAGCCCTGAATTTCAGCTATTTTTTGATACCTAAACGCGCATTGTAGCATAAACCAGTGTCGAGAAAACCTCGTTCAAAGCTAGACTACGCAACACTCCGCACCGTCATTATGGGGGTGGGGTACCATTACAGTATTTACGGTAAGTGGCCTGTGGAAACGTTTCCTCCAAAGAAAACTCCAAGTCTACAGTTAGTAAAGAAATCAATTCTATGCGAAGAAAATAGAATACAAAAAGCTTGTTCTCAATTTGCGTATAGCTTTTTCAGAGAAGAATCCATGCATTGGTGATTTCCGTGCATCAGTTCTTACAAAGTTCTTCACAAAAAAGTCCTCCAGTTGGACGTAAATGGTCGAATTTGGATTTTCACATAATTTCCTTCATTTTATATAAGATTTATTCTGTTATTTCTGTTATTTCAGTTCTTTATTCTATTAAAAACTCCACAAATAAAAGCAAAAAAAAAGACAAGTTTTGAGGCAAAAGCAAATCGATTGTGTAAAAAATTTGAAAATAATGAAAAAAAAACTTTGGCAGAATGGAGAATTTGAGTTCAAGAAAAGGGGAAAATCAAGAAAAATAAGCGAAATGTTTTTTTAAAAGCGAATTCTGATCACATTTTGAGAAGCTGAGTTTTTTGAGAATTGGCAGTTTTATGAGTTACTTTGAAGAAAAGGAAAGGAAAAATGATTTAAAGTCACCGGTGAGAGCTGTGACCCAATGGAATGAATTCATGCACAAGGGATTCATTGGAAAATCAAAAGAAAGAAGTTGTTTGAGGGTAAATGGGTGTACTCTATGCTTGAGAATGGAAACACACTCTTTCTGGCACAGTGAAGCCTTTTATCGGTTTGTTAGGCTGCTTGTGATTGTGTTCACCCAAAGAACATGGGGATTTTCCAGACTCCTTTCCAGAACACTGCTTTTATTCTAGACAAAAAGAGTCTAGTGAACTAGAAAGGGTGTATTTTTACGCTCAAGTACAAAGTACACCAAGTAGCCAAGGCAATGATAACTTTTGATACCAAATTTCAGTCTTGAGCCAGTTTGAAGTCATGAAAACTTGCTATTTCAACTATGAAATCTAATTCAATTCATTTCACTGAAAATTTGATATCAATTGTTGTACTAAAATGAAATTTTGCAATCAATTGATGAAACAAAATCTACAAACAAACAATTATGACAAATTTTCTTTTCATTATGATAGTGGCTATATTGTAAAGATGAGATCTGATTGGAAAAGAAGTGATTGACAGCATTAAATGCTGATCTTTCAATATGCTGAAGGAAAATTGAAAATCTTGATACCTGAGACGATAAAATAGCATAAAATGAATGAAAATACTTAAGAGTTAAGAGATATGTTGGAGATGAAAGGATGATTCTACTTTTAACTAGGGATCCTTTTCGATTTACATCTGGCTTTTGAGTCTAGACAGAGGTTTTTGCTGTCTTTTGTGCTAATTTCGAATATCTAGATCGTTTAGGGATGACGTGTGGAGATTCGCAAGATATTCAACTCCAAAATCCCTCCAAAACTTTTCGACCGTCGATAGTCAAATTTTTGCGCCGCTCTGTAAACGTGAGCTCGTGGCCTATTGGTCTGCTTGATTTCAGTTCTTTATCTCATAGGTTCGAACCCGCTTGCACACATTTCTTTCTGCTTTTTGTGTGATGTAGAAAGCGTAGCTAAATTTTAGGGTAAAAAAAACTGCAGAAAAACTAGACTCAAAAGCTAGGTGTAAATCGAAAAGCATTTCTAGTAAGCCTATTCTCTTCAACAATAGGAATAGATTACTGACTAGTGCTCAAAATCGTGAATATGAACGAGTGGAGCATTCTCATCGACATTTCTCCTCACTATTCTTGCTTGTGCGAGTCGACTCTCTTCATTCACTGGATCGAGAAAGGAGATCATCTGAAACAATGCAAATCATGATGTGAATCAATTTTATAATATGCTGAATTGGATTAGACAACTTTAAAAATCCCCATAGAAGAAGGAACAAGCGAAATCTTCTCTAAAGACTTCTCTAAAGACTTCTAAAGACTTCTCTAAAGACTTCTAAAGACTTCTCTAAAGTGACCCACCGATTCCCTGTCAATCTTGACTTTGTGTGTCCGAATGTCATCGTAAGCCCGAATATCCGAATTGTCCAAACTATCCGAAATATAGCTGTCTCGATTTGATTCTGAAAACGAATTGAATTCTCTCCAGTATTGTGGCATTACACTCACCCAGTGTTGGCCTTCTCATAATCACTGGATATTCATCGGATCGTCTTCTGATCAAATGACGGCTCATTTTTGAATCCGGATAAAGGTCATCTGAATCGTTTTTTTTTATTTAATCACAATATTTTCTTACCATCATCGATTTTCTTTCCACCTTTCTTGAGCAAGAAACAATAAAGACAGAGACAAAGGAGAATTAAAAGAACGAGGAAACAAGTCAGGAGAACTGAGTAGATCATCCATTGAGGAGATACTGAAAAGATAACAATATTGCTTTCTTTTTCGGTTATTCTTAAAATGAGATCTTTTTTATTTGAGAAACTTACATAAAAGAGCTGCTTCGGGTCGACCATTCGGCGTGTAATCGTGAATCTTTCCGAAGACCGATGGCTCACTTTCTGGGGGTCCGTAGATCTAAAAGAGTCATTCTTTTTTGTTGAAATTATTGTTGAAATTGTTATTTTGATAGTTTAATGCTTTGTAATGCTCTTTCTATAATCATTTACCCACCCAAAGTCTCGGATCAACCGCTCCACAAGTATCATTGCCATCCGAGAGTCCCAAATCTTGCATCATCAATCCTTTAAGATCAATCTAAACAAAGATTTTGTTTCTTTAAAGAAATCTTCAAGTTATATTTCAAATTATTAATCTCAAATGAATTTCTGTTTACCTGTTGAACCATTCCTCCATTGTGCTCATCATATTCATAAGCTGCTCCAAAATCAGTCACACAACCAGCCTCTTTATCGTTTAGAACATCTAAAAGTAAATGAAATATAGAAAAACACATTAGAATTTCAATTAAATAGAAAAGAAATGTAATTGTAAAGACTTATAGAACTCACTGATCAATGCAAACTCGACACTCGTCAATGGGAGTCCCGGATCTTGAACGCTGAACTTGCTGCCATCGATCTGAAACAGTTATGGCAATATTTAGTTATAAAACAGTTATGGCAATATTGAATAATATTAGGGGTTCGCAAAAGAAACTGCGCATGACTTTCCGGAACAATATTTTCTCTATTTGAAAGTGCTCTAACCCAGTTTAAATTTTATTCTATTGTGTTGATAACGCTTATTTATTTTACTGATTTTCACATTTGTTTGACCATTGGATTATAAATAATTTTAGTTGCGAGCGTGCCTTCTCTATGACCTCAAAATGAAGAAATCAGCATCGAAGTCGCACCGGAATCTTTGTGAAACATTCAGAGAAAACATTTTGAGTGAAAGGACTTGCCAGGAATGGTTTCGACGTTTTCGTGAAGGGGATGGCAGTTTGGAAGATGGATATTGTCCAGTTGTCTTCGATAATGCAGAGTTGCTGGAGATTGTAGAGTTGGATCCAACTCATACTTTGCCCCTCAAATGAGCCGAATACTATAATTTCTCAAATCTACGCCGAAGAGCTGAAGAAAGTTGATGCAATTCTACGAGAAAGAGGTGTTAATCCAAGGACAATCCATTTACTCGCTCACAATTTCCGGGTACACACATCAAACTTGGCTCAAAACACCATAGAAGAATTAGGCTGGAAACTCGTGCCTCATCCGCCCTATTCGCCTGATATCGCTCCCTCAGATTACCATTTGTTCCTGTCTATGCAACACTTCCTTGCAAATCAACAGTTTAACAATTACCAAGAAGTCGAAATTTGGGTGCAAGACTATTTTGCGTCACAAGATCCGGAATCTTTCGAATCAGGCATCCGAAGTCTACGTAAAAAATGGAAAAATATAGTTGATAATTTTGGCGAGTACCTTTTGGAATAAAGTCTTTTATTATTAATTTTCGAGGTGTTTGAACGTTGCGTATAATACGCAGTTTCTTTTGCAAACCCCTAATACATTTAAAACTTTTTTATCACTTACATATAAGTTAAAGAAACGTCTTGATGGATGAGTGCCGAGTGGAGTTCGTCGCTCCAATTTCACCAAATGAATCCGATCATCGCCTTTCGGGATTTGTTCTGAAATGTTTGAATAAAGATTTTCAAAGCTTGCTTTATTAATAACTTACTTCCAGCACTTGCTGTGAACACTCCTGGATCCTCAGGATTCATTTGTACATTCAAACTCCCATAAACGTCTAAGAAGACTCGGAAACTGAAACAAGTTTGAGGGAATTTAAGTGGAAATTAAAATTAATTTACATAATTCGTCCATATGAATAAAACATGACGAGTGGTGTGTTTTCCTTTAATTCTACACTTGGTAAACGCAATTTGAGCCAGATTCGTTGCAGTACTCCTGAATTTCTCGGCACTGTGTAGATTGATCGATAAGCGTTTAGAGAGGTGGCTGACAGAGAGAGACTTCCGTCTAAATTCGTTCTAGTAAAGAAAACCTTTTAGCTAAAAACCTCTAGGCTTTCGACAAGTGCCAAAGTTTGAATATTGATAATTGTCCGCACAATCGCATGCGAATTCCGGGTCTCGACTGCTTGTCATCGGACGACAACGAGCATCTCCTTTACAGCGAACTGCGCAAACGCCACAGCCACGCTGAATTGTTGAAAATAAGCCAATACTCAATCCAAAATATAAGCTAATCATAGGCTTTAGCTTGTCCAGATAAGATACTCCAGTTGCAAGCCTTGGCCGTAAAATACAGGATGACGAATTATAGCGACAATGTTTTGGAAAAGTATCTAGCAAATGTCGAATTTATTTCAAAAGTGGAAAATATTATATAGAGAATTGTAGCTCTAATTCTTGGCAATATTTAGATACCAAAATCTTTTCGATTCGAATTATACAACTCATTTAACAAGCGCTTGAATGAGCGCGACATCTCTTCGGCGAATCTGTTATTCGGCCGCTTTTCTTTATTAAAAATTGTTTAGAAAAGCTTTTGAATATTTCTTTATTGCAAAAATAACGTTTAACATCATTTAATAACAATAAGAATTACACTTAATTGTTTTAGTTGAACTGGTATAACCAAAATTTAAGTTAGAATCAAAGAGAGGATCAAAGAGAGGCTAGAGCTCATTCAAGCGCTTGTTAAATGAGTTGTCTAAGTTGAATCGGAAAGCTTTTAGTAGATAAATATTGCCAAGAATTAGAGCTACAATTCTCTATATAATACTTGCCACTTTTGAAATAAATTAGCCATTTGCCAGATACTTTTAGTTGTCGATATAATTCGCGGTTACTCTGTACTATTTGAAACTCAATGTGAATCAAAGACAAGACTTTTTTCAAACTCATTGCCAGCTAAGACTTTGCTTTCAAAAAGTTTTTAAACTTAAAGATGTTTTTAAAAGTTATTGCCTTCTCACCATCACTCCAAATGATCGTTTCTGAGGAGCGACAAGTGTCTTTGTCATTTGTCTCTCGAATTCCTCATGTAAATTCACTCGATGACCATTTGAGAAAACATCTTTCACACAACCCTAGCCATTCTTTTAATCAATTATATTCTTTTAATGAACTTACTCTTAATGACGGCAATTTCTCTCTTGTATTCTCAAAATATTTCTGCCGAAAATCCTCCTTGTAAATCCCGGGTTTCACCTTTTTATGAAACATTCCACCGATGAAAAGAACCGAGCCACGAATGAGTAAAGTCTTGTACATCTCTGTGAATCATTGTTTTTTGAATTTAACAATTTGAATTTATAAACCAGATGTGTCAAACTCGTTCTCCTCAGTGAGCAACTTTAATTCGCACAACTCTCGATCAACCATCAAATAGTAGGAATCCAAATCTTTATAGAAAGCAACTCTTGACCAGTTGTCCGATGAAAAACCTGTAATTTGAAGATACAAGAATGCAAAAATTCTGTACAAATTCGACCTCCAATTCTGTAAACAGCACAAGCTGAGCATTTCTCATCGAAAGTCTCACTTTGAGTGCAATACATTGCTGTCATTTTCTCGCCATGATAGTGCACCTTAAATGAAAAATCAGATCTTAATAGCTTTTTCTTTTCTTTACCTGAAATCTTCCCCATTCTTCCTCTTCTTTCCAACTCCCAAACATCAATAATCCTGAGTCTGCATCCGATCGAAAAGTCATCGCCGTTTTGATACTCAATGGACTCAAAACATCAGGTAAATAAAGAAAAGAGAGAAGATCGGGAACACGGAGAAGATGATAAGCTAAAGATTCTTCATCTAACTAACGAACTAACAATCTTTGATTACCTTGTTGTTCTTCATTTTCTCTGTGTCCACAAGCTGGTGATGGAAGAGGATCGAAAATTGAGGAAAGAATTTTACAAGTGCAAATCGGTTGATCCCAACAGAACTCACGAGATCGAAGGTTTTGTCTAAAACTTTCAACTTTCAAAGTCTTTAGATAGATTTCTAGAAACCATCGATTCAAAAATTCAAAAACTTTACCCCAATTTATGCAATCGATCACTTTCCATGCACTCATTAGCCACATCAACCGGATGAGTCAAGATCACTTGTCCATCGACTTTTACAACCAATCGAATCACTTTCATCTCATCTAAGCCGAGATTCGGTTGAAACTGAAATAGAAAACATTCTTTTAGCTTATCTTTCAATTTCCTTTTCTTTAAAACCTTGTATCGTCCATCGATTTCTACGGCTCTCGTCGAGATTCGAAACTTGACTGTATGCCATCGTCCATCCGCCAACATACCCACATAATTTCTGGGATAACCATCGATTCTCATAAAGAAATCTGAAGAAATTGATTGCTTTAAATGAGCGACTTTTTTTTCTACCATTCTCCAATCGATAGTGACTGACGAGATTCTCAGTCATATAGACTTCAAAGAGACTCTGCGCTGTGTGATCGGTTCGAAAAGTGAACTCGAAATATTCATCACTTGCACCAAATGAGATCTCGACGCCACGATCCGAATCAATTAAACATTCACTAAAAATGAAGCTTTAAAAAAGGCTATAAAGGCTATAAAAGGCTAGTTAAAAGGCTAATTTAGTTTTTCAATTGGAAAGCTCAATTTTTTGAGGTTTAAAATCGGTTACCGATTGCCCAAATTGAATTGACAAATAGTCGATTAATTAAACAAAGTTTAATCAGATAAAATTTGACTTAAATAAAGAAATGTTTTTAAGCTGTTTTAACTTACGGTTGTGGATTGATTCGCTGAATACATCTGATTTCCGATGCTTGAATAGTCGGCGCCAGTTCTGAGTTGGGTTCTTGAGGGAAAACATGGAGAATCCCGGCTGCTTCTCCGTCCAAAATCGTTTCTATTTGATTAGCGATTGCTAAAAATGGATAATGAAAATTTCCCTGGTTTAGTTACCATCAGAAAATGAGAATGTTGTGACTGTGTTGAGGACAGAAGCAACTTTCAGATCAATTCTAAAAATCTCATAATCTCATCTAAGTTTTTGAATCTTTACCCCTTCTCATTGTTGAAACCAGGTGGCCAAATGATTGTGACATTTTGACGGCAATTGTTCCTTCGCAAGATATCTTGCAGCAAATCCAAATCACGAATTCTAGAAAATTTTGATGAAATGAGAAGTTTTCTAAGATTAGTTTTGAGATTGGAATCAAATTCTGACTAATAACCTCAATTTTCAAGAGTTTTCGATGAATTTCCAAGTTCTTTAACTTAAGGTTTAACTTTAACTTTAATTCCAACTCATTTAACTCTCATTTAGCTCTCATTTAACTGCAACAGTCTCTCTCTTTGTCAATTTTCAACTCTTAATCCAATCAAGTACTTCGAAATGTTTATGTCAATCACTTCTCCTTTCCTTTCCCTTTCTTTGACATCAAAGTGTCCCAATTCTCACTCACAAATCCCTCTTTAGAGAAGAAAATCTCGTAAAATTTGCATAAAATGTCTTTGTTAAGATGGATTGAGGAGATTCCTTTGATTGTTGAGAAAGAAAAAAGGAAAGAGATTTGGATAAACTCCAAAAACGAAGACTCATTCACTTTTTGAATCAAATTGAACAAACAATTACTAATAAAGTTTATTATTTGTTCTAAAACTCACTGAAATCCGACGGTTTTCTTCTCGCGAACTTGATATGATTGATAAAGACCGCTTTGAATCACAGTGACGATTTCCGTTCCTCCAGTGTGAGGCATCTAAAAGATTGAATAAAAATTGAATCGATATAGAAATCCTAAAATCCTATTAGTTACTGATTTTTAACTTGAGCTAATGTAAGGATGACTTATGATCGCTAAAAATAGAGCTATTACAAAGCTAAAATCGAATTCTTTACCTCACAAAGTACATTCGATTGCACTCCATCATTTAGCCTTAATGGAAGGATTTGTGTCTTGCTTTGACCAGCCAAAAAATGGCGTCGACAAGAGCGCCGAGCTGGGACCACTGAAAACAAGTTTACTCATCATTTTCGTTAAACAATCTCAAACAATCTCAAATTCTGATCTATTTTCTTTCACAAACCTTCAGCAATTACAGCTAGAAATAAAGCGAATAGACAGGCGATTGTCCGCAATCGACCCGACGGTCGCGGAAGCATCCGCCTTTAAAGATTTCTAAAGAAATATAATTCAAATATTGCTAAAACAACTGAAAAATAATGAATAATACAATAGAATTCAAGAATAAATTCAAATTGAATAGAAATTTGTTAGAATTTAAAAGCGATAACTTTTTCAACAGAATTAATTACAGATCTTTGTAAAAATATACCAGTTTTTTAAAATCGATCTTGATAAATACTAGGAAAACAAAGAATTTCTGCAAAAACAAAGCCGAATAGCTTAAAAAAGACTCGTGTTTCCTTTTTTGGCTGTTTTTCAGCGGACTTACGAGGTGAAAGAGGATCAAATTTCACAAAAACGATCACTGGCCATATGAAAAGAAACAATATAATAATCCAAATACTAATTTGGTATCAAAAAAATCATTGTTTCATTGATTTTCACATAAAAATGTTTTCGAACCGTGTAAAATTGGGTCTATTTGAGTTGGGACTGAAGAGAAAACGGAAATGGGAACGATAATCTTTTGGTGTTAACACAAAAGTGAAAAGAGAAAGTGAAGAGAAAGAGATCGTTGTGATGAAGAAAGAGGAGATGAAGACAAATAAAAGATTGGGAAAAGAGGAAAACATCGATAGGGACATTGATGATGAGAGGGACAATGAGAGGGACAATGAGAGGCGAACAAATCATTTGAAGAAAAGCACACTTGAATCGCATTTGATAAGTTGATTTAAAGAAAATCTTTTTTTTTTCGGTATTGCAATCGCTTGAGGAATATCAAATTCTTTTTAGATTAAGTACCAATTATTCTAATAATAGTTTTCTTCTCACAGATCACTATTACGATAGAATTCAAAGGATTCAAAAATAAATAAACATTCGAATTCCAATCTAAACCTAATTCCACCTTCATTTTCTTGACCGATTGCTCTGAAAACTTGTTTACAGATAGAAATCGATATTTTTGACTTTGGTACGAGTATCAGCTCTATAATAGACGAATAATAATATCTCTTACAACAAAATAAAGAAATGAATGGCAAAGAATTTAAAAGCGAGGAGAATTGAACCCTCGATCTTCTGAAGATGAAAGGTTATTTGCTTATATTGGATTCTAATACTGTAATAGTAAGAATTCTTCAGTCTACCAAAACTGAACGGTAGAATTTAAAGGATTCAAAATCGATAAACTAATACAAGAGACTTTGGTACTAGTATCAGCTCTATGAACTAAAGATTAGTAACAAACATTTTTGATCTTTACTATAGGAAAATTTCAACTCAAACCTAATTCCACCTTTGTTTTCTCAACCGTTTTTTGACCTATTGCTCCAAACTTTTGCTGAAAATATCGATTTCTATCTGTAGACAAGATTTCAGAGCAATCGGTCAAGAAAATGAAAGTGGAATTAGGTTTAGATTGGAATTTGAATGTCTAATCTGTACCAGGCCTGGGTTACCCGCACGAACTTTAATTTTTAGATCAATCTTGACCAAGAAAGATCTGATACGAATAGCACTTGATACACCGGATTATCAAGAGTTTTCTTTAAATGAAAAAGACTATGAGTTGAATTTGAATCTTGTAAAACAGCAATTAAATAATTGAATTGAATTGAATTGAATAAATGAATAAATTGAATAAAACAGCAATTGAATAAAGTTCAGAATAAAACTGAATATGAAATAAAACATATAAGGGAAGAAAATTAAGAAAATGATTCAAAATAAAGAAAAAAACTGACAGAAACCTTTTCGTAAAAAGAAGTCATCTAGTTGAGAGTTTTTTTTTTCGTTAGTGAGAAAGAGAGAGAGTGTATTTGTTGAGTAACGAGATTACAGTCACTAATCTCCGCCGTCGGCTGGCAATAATCCCACAATGTTGCAATTTTTAGTGAAAAAGAAGTCAAGAGTCGAAGAGAAGCTTGCACGAGGGCAAACACGCGGAGGAAAGTGAAGAATTCTCGGATAGATTTAGAGAGATTTTTGAAGGAAAAGACTGAAAATGATACAATGGCATCTCTTTATTTTATGCACCCCTCATCAAATGTTTGCACAATTCGGCCCCGATCCACGCCCGATCCATCCACTTTTGCTAACGGATGTAGACTCAGCTCGTCACTTTTAAAGCTAACAAAGTCTAGGTAGATTGAACTAATTGATACTCTAATTTAGATTCATTCCTTGCTTGAGTTCAGCCAATTTTGGGTTAAAGATGTAGCTGGCGATAGAAACAGTTGTGGATTAACAACGGCCTATCAACTGGATAGGCTGAATTTCACGCTAACCATGATACTGCTTTCCATTTTTTGCTAAACCCCACTCTGTCAAAAGTTATACGCATTTAACGAGAAAAATCAAATATAGACGTTAAAACTGGACTTTTCAGGTCAGAAAGTAGTGTAGGAATGGCTGAGTGGTAGTCAATTAGAATACAAGGCAAAATTTCTCAATTAGATCCAGGGCATCAGCTGACTTTTTGTCTTGCTTTTTTAGGTTTAAATGGCTTGTGTGTTCTCCGCTCCAAACCCACTATTTTTAGCACATTTTTTCTTGACAAAAACATTCATTTTTATCCTTATTTGTGGCGTGCACAAATTGTGTACGATTGTGTGCGGCGATAAGGAATACAAAAGCCATTCAAACCCAAAAAAAGTAAAACAAATAGTCAGCCGGCGGATTCGAACCTGTATTGCCTTGTATCCTAATCTACCACCACTCGACCACCCGTGCACTGCTTACTTAGCTGAAATATTCGGTTTTAAGGTCTACCTTTGCTTTTTAAAGCTCTTTACAAAGGTTTAAAAGCTTATAACTTTTGACAGAGTACCATTTAGCAAAAACGGAAAGCAGTATCATGGTCAGCGTGAAATTCTGCGTCGAATGATCATCTAAGTGCATCTAAATTAAGCCAGCCAATCCAGTTGACATCCCCTTGTAAGTATGCTTAGCTTCAGCAAATCTATTAATCAAGTTAAATCAAGGTTATTAATCAAATCAAATCAAGATTATTAATCAAATCAAATAAACTTTTTAGAAATCATGGCAAATCGAAGGTAAATTTTTGGTGTTTTCAAGGAAAATTTTAAAAATTTAAAGCCAAAAGGATGAATCCAAAGATGTGAAAGGAAAATATTTTTTAGAAAAGCTTCAAAAACCATTTCAAACCAAGAAAACTTTTTGAAACAAACTGAATTTTTGCCGTAGACAAAACACAAAATTTTAGAGCTCAATCAATCTTTTAACAAAGGGATTCTCAAAAGTTCTCACCTTGTATCACTTTCCCAAAAAATATAGGAAAGCGATAATCGATTTCCCATTCACTTTTCCCAAATATTGAAAGCGATAATCGATTTCCCATTCACTTTTCCCAAATATTGAAGCGAAACGATTTCCCATTCACTTTTCCCAAATATTGAAAGCGATAATCGATTTCCCATTCACTTTTCCCAAATATTGAAAGCGATAATCGATTCCCCATTCACTTTTCCCAAATATTGAAAGCGATAATCGATTTCCCATTCACTTTTCCCAATTCCCAAACTGATTGCTCATTCTGATTCTTTTCGATTTTAAAAAAACCAAAAAAAAATGATTAAGAAAATGAAAAGTTCTTTTAAAATTGTTAAAATATTTGTTGATTTTTATATAGCTTTTTGAGCAAATTGTTAAAATATTTTAAAAAAAACTATTTAAAATATAGAAATAAAACTCGCGATCAGTGTCAAAACGCGTCAAAATTCGAGTGCTCATTGTGCCGCAAAATTTCGTTTTTTTCGCTTTTTCGGTATTGTTATAGTCGAAAAAGAATCAAAAATTCTCAAAAAGAGCTTAAAAAAACGTGTTTAGCTTTTTCGAATACACAAAATTTGCGAACACTTTTTTCGGGGTTCGAGCGATTTCCCTGAAATGAAATGTCATAACATTTCTCGGCAATTTGTCAAACATTTTTGCAAACTTGTTTTATAAATTGATTTTTATATAGTTTTTGAACAAACTGATAATCAAACTTATAATTTAAAGAGATTAATGCGCGGAGCAGATAGGCCGATCGACCTTTCCCCTTCGACCTTATGCTTTAGATCTAGTGGCTCTTTGCCGTAAGTAATTGGCTTATTGATTTCAGTATGTATTGTATGATTAAGTATCACTGTGCATTTCTCTATGATTTCTTTCACTTTATCGTTTGAATAAAGTATTATTATTATTTCGTTGGGTCGAGGTAGAGGTGGGCGCCGGCGACTTGGCTGGAGTCTGCTGCAATATGCTAGAGGCTGTGCTGGTGCCTTTTATTTTGGTTTTTTAAAACGGCCAAAAATATGCAAATCTTTCAAAACCAAATCTTTAGCCCAGTGGTCTAACTCCGCTGCCCGAATGAATGGGAAAAAATACTGCCCCACCCATCCGAACTAACGTTCCCGGCGTGTAGCCTGTAACGTTCCCGGCGTGTAGCCCGTAACGTTCCCGGCCGAACTAACGTTCCCGGCTTATAGCCGCTTCGCATAACATTTCTCGGGAAATTGTCAGAAAATTCTTGCAAACTTGTTTTATAAATTGATTTTTATATAGCTTTTGAGCAAACCGATAATCAAAATTATAATTTAAAGAGGTTAATGAGCGATTTAAAACATTGAAATGAGAAAATTTGGCATGATGAGTCATGGATTTGGACATTGAGAAATGGGAAGAATCGTTTGTCAGTGATGTTTGACTTTGAATCAGTTTGACAAAGGGGAAAAGGGAAATCAACAATTAAAAGTTTTTAATTGTAAACAGAAAACAAGTTTAAAAACATATTTCTATCTAGATTTTTCTTTCTATTTAATTCTCTTTTCTTCTAATCACCGAAATGGTTGAATAATTCGATCAGTTGAACGGGAATTTGAAAGGAAAAGAGAGATTTCACTCTAGCAAAATCCATTTTCAACCTTAAAAGATTTAAAAATAAAGCAAAGGATTTGAAAAAGAGTTTAAAAATAGTCAAAAACAGTTTGTTGATTAATTTTAATTAAGAAATTTTAGGTAAATTGTT